ACTGCCGTTCGCTTCAATTAAGTCATTTAGTAGTTTAATTAACTCTTTGTCACTATTATTTCTACCTTGCTTACCGTCTAGGCATGTAAATCCCAACATAAAAACATTCACTGAAATATCCGTTCAAAATATGGCTCCCCTGACGTAATTGTTTATCTCCTCGCACTAAAGAGTTCCTACAGTATGTTTTCTTTTATGTGATACTGAACCTTTACTGTGGCTTTTAAGTATTTTTGATAGAAATGAAAACAGACCATAGAGGAACTCTTCAGTGCGAGGAGATAAACAATTACGTCAGGGGAGCCATATTTTGAACGGATATTTCAGTGAATGTTTTTATGTTGGGATTTACATGCCTAGACGGTAAGCAAAGTAGAAATAATAGTGACAGAGAGTTAAATAAACTACTAAATGACTTAATTGAAGCGAACGGCAGTGTCGCCTAGGTGAATAATTCTTGATATAGTCGGCCAAAGTTGGGGCTGAATCTCCAGACATGAATTATGAAGGACTGTCCCGAGATTCGGTGGGCGTCAGACCAAATATCTAGCCCAGCCGAATCTCCACCGAGATTATTTGTTTGTATGTTGTTTAACGTCCCTCTCGAGAATTTTTCACTCATATGGAGACGCCACCACTTGCCGGTGGAGAGCTGCAAATTTTGTCCTATGCTCGGCACTTACGGCCATTGAGCAGTGAGGGATCTTTTTCGTGCCAACACCTACTGCGACACGGGACCTCGGTTTATACGGTCTCATCCGAAGGACCGGTCTCCACGTCCCACAGTGGGATTCGAACCCGCGACGTAAGGATCAACTCCTTACTTCGCGACTCTAGAGCAGACGCTGTAACCACTGCGCCACGCGGGCGACCATGCTGGTTGTAACCTAATTTTGCTACCACGCATGGTTATAATTTAATTTCGAAATACTTTTGCTTAACGATCGCCGACCGCAAGGAATAAATGCGAAGTACTTTGATGCGCATTATAAATTGAAAATACATGTATGATATATATTACAATTAATAAGCTAATATGGCTTCTTTTTTGCAATTTAAGTCCCAATTCACATATATGTCAAAGTGTCTGTACACATGTTTAGTACTAAAGATTTTTTTTTTGTTTTTTTTTTTGTTTTTTCCCCCACTCAAAATAGCAAAAATACCTAATTTGATCACCAACATGTGTCCTGTTACTTAGTTTTGCAATTACTATTATGCATGGAACAAAATTTAATTATTAATTTAATTTATTTGATTCTCCACCAGTTATTTTTTGTAAAAGCGGTATAGAAGCAATTGATAAATTATCTGTTGAATGTTTTCAAGTAAAAAAAAAACTGCATAGTTTGGCATTGAAGAACTGATTTTAAAAAAGGTTTATATTCATAGAAATTTGACATCACATATTTCAACATCAACCACAACAAGTCAAGAATATAAACAGTTCAATGATTAAATTGAAGTGACGATTTCGCCAATTTGACCACTGTGAAGTATGGTCTTTCCCCGAACTCCTTGAAAGGATACTTCTCCAAGTTGACAATTGTTACGAATGGTATTTGGCTCAAAATCATTCCAAAGGTCCTAAACGGAAATAACAGGCAATCCTAATCAATATCTTTCGTCTCCTTCAACCGCACCACAAATTTCTGAAAACATACACAAACACACACACACACACACACACACACACACACAAAACAAAACAAAAAGCAGAAAGAATATCAATATCATTTCCATAACTGTCAATAAATATTGGTATAGTTCAATTATGTAAAATTATGTAAACGTACGGAAGGAGAAAGGGTATACTTAAACATTAGATACTTAAACATCTAGCTCAAGGGTTGAGGTAGGAGGGTATTTCATAATACAAAAATTAAATCAGATACTTTCATGACCCACATTTATTTTTTATTTATGCATAGAAAATGGGAGATAACCTGGAAATGTAGTGACTAAGTATCGACACTGTATGGGTGGATAACTAAATTCTTACTTTACTCAATTATCAGGTTGTCACAAAATATGAGGCGAATGATGACATTAATAACAGGGTAGAGCTTTGATAACGATGCATTATGTTAGACGAACTCAAAAAAAAAAAAAAAAAAAAAAAAAAAAAAAAAAAAAACACTGCGGGGTTCTTCCTAGTGTTTCAAAGCATTCACAGCACTGTTAAGGCTGCATAAACGGGGCGGAGCCTAATTGATATGGAAAATGTTTACTGTGACATCACACAAAAACACAAAAATAGCAATTCCTCACAGAAAATGTAATAATTTGTGATTTTAAACTGTATAAGAGTAATAAATGAACTAAAATCAAAACTGACCACTGCATTTATTTTTGTCGCTATAGTTAAATCCCACAGAGTAAGACATAAACAAACCTCAGTCTGATCGCAATGCTCTTGTCGACTTGTTAACATTTGGCTCATTTTATATGCAGTGAGAGGCAGATCAAGTAACATTTTCACAGTGAAAAATGCATTTTATTATCAAACAGAATATTATCTACAGATGTTAGATAAACCATCAATACCAATGCGAAACCTTTGTTTAGTGCCTTTATTCAATAATTATTGCAAGAATGTATTGAATTAATTTTCCGTGTTTTCGACACCAGAATACAGGCTCGGATCTGTGATTATGGACATTGCCAATCATAGGCTCTTTAAACCGCCACGTTTCGCGGAAGAAAATACCGCTCAAACAACCCGCTTGTTCCTTAACTTCTATATACCAACAAAGGAATTGACGCAATCAATATAAGTAATATTCTTAGTCAAAAAAGGTCAAGTATATTTCAAGTTGAAGCTAGTGGTAATCTAACTTATTCCCTTTCTAAGGAGGAAAATCTTCAAAAGCATACGTCAGTTTTAAATATTTTTAATATTCCAAACAATCAAAATGAATTTGACTTACCATACCTGTACTGGATTCCAAAAGTCCCTAAAAATCCTTACAAACAAAGGTAATAGCGGGTTCAAGAAAATGTTCTACCAATGCAAGCCTCTTTCTTTACTCATCATTAGAATATTTACAGCAGTGAAGGAGAAACTTCAGGAGTTCTGTACAACAGTATATTCGAGAAGTGGTGTAAATCAGATGTGGATACTTAAAAACTCCAAGGAACTTTAAGAAAATTTCGATTCACAAAATTTTACCAAAATCAATAACAGCAAAACATACGACTTTTCAACACTTTATACAAGCATTCCCCACGATAAATTAAAATCCAGGCTTTTTGACATCATCGACAGCTTCAATTTTAATAAAATTGGAACTGGTAAGTATACTTACCTTGCCATTGGTCATTTGCAAAATTATTTTGTCAAAAAACATTCTGATTGTACACACAAGTACTCTGAAGTTGATATTAAAAAAGATGCTTGTGTTTCTGATTGACAATATCTATGTAGTTTTTGGAGATCAGGTCTTCCAACAATCTGTTGGAATTTCTATGGGTATAAATTGCGCCACCTTATTAGCAGACATATATTTGTATTCAAATGAAGCAGAATTTAATCAGAAACTTCTACATGAGAAGAAGAAACACTTGTTGTGGCCTTCTACTCGTCATCTAGACATATTGTCGACGTATTATCAATTAACAATAGTTACTTCCATTAATATGTCGACTCGATATATCCCAGTGTGCTTGGAATAAAAGAGACCACAGAGTCTGATACATCTGTTTTATATTTGGATATAATTTACAAAAAAGACATTAATGGTAACTTAACAACAAAGCTTTATGATAAACGCGATGACTTCAATTTTTCAATCGTCAACTTCTCTTACTTATGTAGCAATATACCCTTATCACCTGCATATGGGGTTTTTGTCTCCCATTGATTCGATACGCAAGAGCATGCTCTACGTATGAACAATTTCTAAATCGAGGCAAGCTTTTGACAAACAAGTTGATGACACAGGGATATCAGCAGTCTAAATTGAAGTAATCTTTTCGCAAGTTTTATGGTCGATACATGTAGTGTTCTCTTGTACCAACGACACAGGTTCAATTCAATGTCTTTATTAACATGGGCACAGTCTGTCATTGTATGACAAAGTCCTTGTCTGTGATATAATATGACAAATATGATAATATGTCTGGTACTTTCAGCTAGAACACAACAAACTCTACTGCACTCACTGATCTGAATATTTGATAAACGTATCATTCTGATAAAATTGGATTGCACAGAAATCGAAACTTACGGACAAAATTGGAATTCAGAATAAAATATACAGATTGTCCATTACAATACAATGACCTTCTCAGCAAATACAATCTATCATTAAGTCAAATGCTGACTGACATTTTCATACTAATTGTTATGCCATTATTTACACATTGAAATGTCTACGGATTCTTCCGTTTTTTCCGATCATGATAGGGAGTAAACGGCGGGTGTGACCGGTCGGCAGGGGATGCTCACTCCTCCATAGCACCTGATCCCATCTCTGATGTTTTTGGAGGTCTGCGTTTTCTCTGCTCACGATTTGTATTGTTTTAATGGACTTTGAGCTTTAATACTGTTCGTTCTCTCCATATGTCAGGTCAAATAAGGTGACCAAACTTAATTCAATACAGAGTAAGGTATATATTTTATATCAATAGATAAAAAAGTCATGTGATAAATCACTAAAAAATTCAGTTGAAAAAGGTATCTATTTGTGCACGTCAATACTCCGTTGATTTCTTCATTGTACGCCTTAACAGTGCTGCATTTACTTTTATTTTAAGATTGATTAAGGAATTTAAGACGCAAGTATCCCTGCCACCGTGCTTTCATGCATATTGTCTGAAATCCAGGACTATTGCCTCTAAGTCTAAAAATTTCATGTGAAACTAAAATGCGTGTTTAATAATTGAAAAAGCTCACACACCGCTTGCTTACATACGCACAGTAAAATTAACACATAAATAAAATTAAAAAATCATATAAGATGGGGTTGGCTTAGATGAAGGGCTTTTAATAGACCGACATGGGTTTACAATGGACGGTAACCTACACGTTTGGAGCTTACACATGGGCAACAAATGCTGGACTTGTAAACCTGCAAATTCCAATGCCTTCCCTGATGGATTTGTGGTATACAACCTTACTAAAAAGCCGCTGTTTCAGGCCCAATTCCGAAAGACTGAGCTTTAAATTCCCCATATCCCAATTAATTTTAAGGCCTCTTCTAAAGCAGGAGGAAATTGATATAATATCTTGTCAGTGGCTGTCAACTGTTGTGACAAATAATAAACCCAGAATTTTGAGTCGCACTGAAAAATATTTTGTCAAACACCTAACTCGGCAAGCACTATCGTTTACTTTGTTGATACAAAGAGTAATCCCTGTCTCATGTGCTGATTGACTTTGGATCGTTAAATCTGGAATTTAAAAAATGGAATAATTTGCTTGAAACATAATGTCAGACGCCCCTAATAATGAATTTGCATTATTTCCAGTTGTCAATGCAAACCCCTCAGTTTTAGAATTCCAAAGAAATGCATTAAAAAAGAGCTGGAAAAAATTTCTCGACTCATAATCATTTTATAAAGTAAAACTGATTGGTCATAAAGAAACTAAATTCAGATTAATTCCATCGGGCTAGAAACAATTTAGGAGGAACTCAGACAAACTTGGAAATGAAATTTTAAAACCAATATTATTTGATGAACATCAAATAGTACAAATTAATTTAGGTTGGCTATGTGTTGTTCTTTTGATACAGTTTTGCGTTTTACAGCTAATTGTTTGGGGGTGATTAAAGACCATAAAAGAATGAGTAAAGTGTATCTATACACAAAGAGAGAAAGAGAGGTAGAATGTCTTATTGAATATCCCAATATCAAAGTTTAAAGTCAGTCAGACTTGTACAAGATAACAATAGACCCAAGCTCTGTGGATTTTATTTACATATCGATGTACACAGTAGTCAGCTAGCAGGGTCAAATTCAAAGAAGTCAAGTCTATAATTAATCATAATACTAGTGCTACATGTATATATTAAAATTTTTGGGACATTTCTATTATTAGCATAAACTAAATTAAATAATATTTTCTTTGTCATATTTATGCAAAACAGGATTTGTATTACTTATTTCTAAAATAACAAGGAAATAAAGGATGTCCGGTTGCGTTTAAATAAAAGCTATACAGTTTAGATTATTTTCATTGTGGTTAGAGAAAAAAATAATAAGTTCAATATCTCTTTAGTTTAAACGTAGCGCACAGCCAAAATCATATGGAAGTTTTAGATTTAAGTAGAAGTCAACTGGGAAACAAAGCACAAGAAGAAACTTATAGAAGTAGGTAAATATGGAGTATATTTTTTTTAATATCTTAACTAATTAAAATAAATATATAGATGACATTGTCTATTTAGCTATACATTGTCTAAGATGTTGGGAAAAAATACAAACGATGAGATAAAATAACAATAGTTCATTTTCATTATTATAATCATAAAACACTAAATTGTTGAGAATAATAATCAATTGATTATGATATGGTACAATAATCTTTTATTATCAGAAAATATAACTCTATCCAATAAATTTTGTTAAAAGCAAAAAGTACACATCTTCATGCTACATGAAATTTGTCCGCAGGAATAGTAAACAACTTTTGAAAATGAGGAGTAGAAAATGAGTAGGATCTTTCTGATATATACATGATTGTATGATTGTTCCATTTTTCTTGGAAAGTTTAAAGTTAACTTCCTTCTTTTATAGACCGAAATAGTTTATATAAAAATGGCTGCATTTATGGTTCCTTTGTTACGACAGTCTTCTTACTTGATACGTCGGCAAGCATGACAGGAGAAGGTCTGCAGCAAATGAAAAGAGCATTTAGGGATATCATTTCCGGTATATTCTTTCGTACAACGATCATATACTTTCTTAACGGGGCATGGACACAGATCTAAAGTTTATAATCTTCAAAAGTCATGAAGAATTTCACGAATACATATTGCAAGAGCGTTTAAGACCGATGTAATATAGAAACTTCTTATTTTTAAAATAATATTTATAAAAAAAAAAAAGTATCCCAGGCGTGTTTGATTATCATACAATCTTGCATAAACTAAAATTTATCCAAAACATTCCAGAAAAGTGGAAAATCTGAAGTATATTAATTTTATAAAAGATATTAGAACTAAAATACATCGATTGAAAGTAAAATAAAAATTCTAAGAAAGCAGAACATACACTAGTGTCGTCAGTATCTAGTCAATCATGGTCCTATGATTAATCTTAGCCCTGAAAATGCGTGTTTTTCAGTATAAATTATTTAAGAAAAAAACCTATCGTTTAATTTTGGGAAAAAAAAATACTTCTACATATAGCTAGTTGCCAATATTATTTTTTTTTTTAAATACTCATTTCGAAATTATTGCGGAAAAATCACACACACATACACACCCTCCCTCTCACACACACACACACAAACACACCTTTCTCCCTAAGTCACGTTTAAACAAAACAGCAATGGAATTGTGTCCAGACTCCTTTAAGACGCATAAAGCTTTTCCAGTGATATCATATTTTTATGACATCATAATTTCTGAAACATAAGATTTATGATTATTTTCAAGAGTTTTCCAAGCATTCCTCTGCCATACCAGAAAATGTCTCAATTGTAACTTTTGGTGAAGAGGTAAAAGTACTTCATTACTATTCCACTGATTACACGACGATCGCCCAATGTGTAGGTAAACAATTTTATGAATTTATGTTTTAACAAAATACAGAAAAAAAAAATATCCTCTTCAATATAAGAATGTTTCATTATCATCAAAATCATTTTAAATTTCCTTTTGTACAGATAATATACATTGTGGAGGATCAAGTCCATTAGAAGCAGGCATTATAATGTGTTTGTCAGGGATAGGTTCAGGTATATTATAATATTTTAAAACTAAAGGTACTGTAAGCACTGAACTCACAAAATGATACCCCGCCTCCCATATGTATATCATGGCAAAGTCCATGTTTTGCTATGGGAGACCCGAAATAAATGTCCGATCAAAAAGTAAAATTGGTTCACAGTGACGCTTTATAATAAGGATTCTCCGAATGTATCATTAAAATTTATTCAGTGGTATAGGGGGATTTGTGGATAAGAAATGGGTAACCCTCAATGTTATATGTCTATGTTCGCTATAGGTAACCCAAAATATGTGTCCGATCAAAAAGTAAAATAGGAGGTGCAAAATGGCAATATGTAACAGATATTCTGTGAAAATTTGCAGACTAGCTAATGTAAAAATAATGCAACTAACTAGTTCTTTATTCGGTGGTATAAGAGTAGTTGCAAATTAAGAGATGTGTACCCTAAAGCATAACAAACGGACGGACGTACAGCTAGATGGACAGACGGGTGGACACCCCCAATCACTATACTCTTCTTATTTTTCAAGCGGGGTGTATAATAAGATGCTAGAGCTGTGTGCATATATACCCGCTGTACTAACTTAGTGAGCGGTATGCGAGAGGTTTTAACATCTACATGTAATTTTACGGACACTTTCTAAAGAAAGTTCAGGTATATTGTTGTTATCCTGGTCCGTCCGCCTGTCACACTTTCTTCTTCAAACTCCTCTTATAATTTAAGCAGTAACCAATTTATCTTATGGAATATGATAGTCCGTGTCCTGTGGATGTGCAGTATGGTTTCAGAGTTTTCATTTTCACTCTGGGGCTAAATTGAAATCGAAAAAGAACGTTTTATCTACAAAAAGTACGCAATTCATTTTTTGCAAGATGATTTGTGGGGTAATGTAGATCTAGATGTGCACTGAATTTTCGGAAATCTTTATTTTTTCAATGGGTCGAAAAATGTCGTTTTCAACCGCAACCTGGTTTCCAAAACTCATTATACATTTTACTCATTAGCCATATCATACTTTGGAAGGTAATTTGGGGTGTTCTGTAGATGTTCATCTAAGTTTTGGAATTTTTATTTATATCCCCTGGGCCCTAAGAGGCCGAAAAAACGACTTTTTTTTAATTTTACAAAAACCGGTTTCCCAATACTCAAAGAACTTAACACATTAGCCATTTCATCTTTTGCAAGATAAGCATCCTGCAAATGTGTAGTAATGTTTCGGAATCTTCATTTTCAGCAAAGAGGGTTAAACGGGTATCGAAAAATGATGATTTTTATTTTACAAAAACCTTGTTCCCAGAGCTCATTATACAAAGTAGCCATCTGATCTTTTGGAAGATGATTGGGGATGTTCTGTAAATATGCAGTAAGATTTTGGAATCTTCATTTCTTATTTTACAAAAGCGTGGCCCCCAGAACTCCTCTTGCATTTATGCCATTTCATCTTTTGCAATATGATTGTTGATGGCTCAAGAGGTCATGGTCTATATACAATTTAAGGCGTCATGACACAAAGAACAAGGTTACATATGATTTAGGTTAGAGCTTTCAAATGTTTTTAAGATGTTTGACCATTTTCAGTTTAATTTCCTGTTTGAAGAAGAAACATGATACTGTTATATGAAATTTAAGCAATTCCTTGGGGACATAAGTTAGAGAGTCCTGTCATTCCACGAAAACAATGACAGTTAATCCCCACGAAAATTAATGATTTCACATTCTTTGGGCGATTCGGTTAATCAAGGTCACCTGGCTGATTTTGGAAAGCCCCTTCCCCCCAAAAATATACCGATATTATAATTAAGTTTGATAGTTCATTTTTGAAAAAAAATCTCATTTCAGCGTCTAAAATTTTCAATTTCATCCAAGTCCCAATTTTGGCCGATTTCTTCTTTTTTGTTACAAAAAAGGCATTCTTCAGGAACTCCTTCTTTTAGAATTACAATACACTTCATAACAATCTTTTATTTATGACCGGTAATGAATTTATATTTGAAATACTAAAATAATAAGAGGCCCCATGGATCATATCACCTATATACATTTTATGCTCAGTTTGATATATTTATATTTGTCTAAATTATAAATAATTATTGTGGTTTCGTCGCTATCCTAGCAGAAGTGAGCTAGCCTATATTTAGAGGCAAACACTTAGGAAGAGGTATTTCATGTACTGTCTTACATGTATGACAGCAACTAGTTTTAATTTTATTGCACTGCTTATATTACTTCCTTAACCCCTTTCATTTTTGTTAATTTCGAATTAAGCTTAGAAAATTGATATCATATTATCTAATTGTGTAGCACCCTACATCGCCATTGGATCATATCACGTCAGGACAAGAATAGTAATCATCACTGATGGTAAACCAACAGAGATATGTACAGGAAACGACCAAGAAATCTACGAATCTCGTGTATTAGATGAAGTAATGCCTTAACTTTCTTAAGGACATAGGCAACATACCTTACCTACTGATAATTTTTCAAGATTTTCTTAATTTAAGATTATAGTGCCATTAGATGTTCATAGACAAAAAATCAACATGTATTACCATGAGTTTCGAAAAGATATGAATTGATGAAAATTATTGTATAATTCAAAGAAAAATATGAAAAATTACTAAACATATATTCTAGATGTCTTGCTTATCCAAACTTTTTTTAGAAGAAGTGTACGAAAGCATATATAGACATTAAAATGTAACTTACAGTTCCTTCAAGTATTGGAACTCTTCAACTCCAGAGAAAAAGACAATAAATTTCAAACTACATTGTGTATGTCCTTAAATTAAAAAAAATAGTAATTTTCCTGCAATATTAAACTAAATATTCGGAGCATTTTCTCTCTTTTTATCGTATATTATGTCACAAGCATTCTGTGGTTTATATATAATAATAATAATAATTATAATAATAATAATATATATATATATATATATATATATATATATATATATATATATATATATATATATATATATATATATATATATATATATATATATAAATATAATATATTTTAAGTTCAAAGCTATTTTTAAACCTGAGATGAAACATTTTTACTTCATAATTTAAAGACAAGTGACAGGATCATTGATCTAGTGAGAAAAATAGGAGCAACTAACCCAATCTTCTGTATTCCTGTTGGGGCTGATCCTGACATCGTGAGTATTTCAACACGTTTTAAACTTTCAAGTGTGTTTTGCCTACACACAAGTAACAACCCCAAAAAGAATTTAAGTACATTTCTGCAGAGATTTTCTTCTATCAGATATCAAGCTTTCATAAAATTGAAAGAAGCGTATTTTCAAATGGAGATTAAGTAAAGGAAATGGACCAAACCGTGACTTCTCTTTATTCTGTCGGTCCGTGCGAACTGACCGAAAAGCTTCAATTTTAAGATGTTAAAACATACTTTCCCTTAGAACCCAAATAAAACCCTTCTGACCTTAAAATGCAGATTGCTCTTGAAGCATGGTTTGAAAAAACTAGTATCGAAATAACATATCGTCAATTAAGTTTAAAAAAGTGTATGCTTGTCAATTTAATGGGTTAAAACGTTGACTTTGAGAAAAGGACCATAAATAAGAGCAAAATGTTCCTAAAGAAATACGATGATAACGAACAGTAATAAAGCTCAAGAGCCAATTTGAACAATACATATTAGGAGCAGAGCAAACACTAACCTCTAAGACATCAGAGGTGGGTTCAGGTGCCATAGAGGAGTAAGCATCCCCTGTCGACCGGTCACAGCTGCCATATGCATGTGCTCCTTATGAGGCGAGCTATATGAAAATGTATTTATTCTTAAATTTGTAAACTTGACAAAAGAAGTTTTCTTTTATCTGAAATTTTGCAGATACATGTATCTTTTTTGTTTTTCCCCCCAAAAATGAAATATGTTTGGCTTGATTGCAATAATAAGAGCAAATATTAATTTTAAATCATTAAATGTCAATAAAGTATTAGATAAGTAGGAGCATTGCTAAGCTTGATTTGTTAATATTTATTCATGATTTTTCGAAGCAGACGGATGTTATTTAGCCAAATTTTACACAGGATTATGTCGTACCACTAGCTTATAGGTCTAGGAAATACTAAAATAAAACTGAAATTTAATATCTATAAAACACCAAACAAAGAAATGGACAATGTCATTTTTTATCAAAAGCTCTCTTACATCCTAAGCTGATTAGATGAATCCCCAATAAGAGTAACAATCTTTCAGACAAAAATTGAATTTCACCTTGTTGTTGCTGTAATTGTAGTGCTTTCTTGGAACTATGATCATGCAATCAAAAGGAGGAAAGATTATTCCACACCAGGAGGCTGGTCAGTTTGGCAAATACACTGTCAATACGGTAAGTGCAAGTAAGGGAAACATCAGATATTGAATAATTGGCATAGGAATAAATCAAGGTCAAGTGCGTTTAAGCAAATGAAAATGGGCCCTTTTCAGTGCAATTTTTATACAGAAACCAAATCGCTCTCTTTAGGTAATACTTAAACATTTCCGCCATTATTAAACTTTAAACCTTTAACTTTTGTTTCATCCTTGCATACAAGTTCTGCGACAATGGTTAATACTTTTAATTTTAAACCACGTTACATATCACCAAACTTAGCATGGATTGAAACAAGAGAGTTTTTTATATGCCTAGAGATACCACAACTCCGGAAAGTCGTACCGAACCTATTTAAGTTGCGTGTATTTAAATAAGAGGAAGGGACATTAAATTCGACAATCGAACAGTCTGATTATGGATCGATAGGCGCATTTGCTGAATGTTACATCTTGCGTTATTTCATCTGTGAAAAAAAATGAATGAAGCTATTTGGTTGCCTATAGCCAAAGTGATCAAACGAAGAATTTAACACGCTTGTCTTTGATATCATACAAGGAAGATTAACGTCAATTTCTTTATCATTATTTAATTATAAAATGGTATTTAAGTGTGAAAGGGCGAACTGTGCTACTTTACTACCATTTAACAACACATCTTTTTAGTACATTAAACCAGTAGAGCCTCTTAATAAGTATATAAGCAACACTGAGTCAAAACTTTGTGCAAATCATTTTCATAATGTGTTATAAGAATTAATTTAAAATAATTGTTGATTCAAATTTTTACATCTTTATTTTTAAGCCTAAACTATTCAAAAGTTATGGGCAAGGTTAAAGTTTTTGCTGACAATCAGACAAACAGATAGACAGACAGACGAACAGCTAGACGAACAGGGCAAAAACTATATACCCCCGAATCTTCGTTACGGGGGCATAAAAACAGAATCTGACACATTTGTTTCATATTTGGATATTTTACTATTGAACGATATAATTGATGGCTAACTAACAATAGAACTAAAGTTTCTGATATGACATTGAAGTCAGTATTTCTAAAAATTTATGGTCGATGCAATACCCTTGTTTACAAATACAACCTCTTTAGGTCGAATGTTGACCGACTTCTTTCATAAAATTGTAAGGCCATTATTTTCCCACTGAATTGAATATAATTTTTTTCGCTTACCCGATCATGACAAAGGATACACGCTGGGATGCTTACTCATACTTGGTACCTTTTCCCATCTCCGTTTTTAGAAGTCAATATTGGCTCTGCTCACAATTTGTACTGTTTAAATGGATATTTCAACATGAACATTTTTCGCTATCTTCACATTTCATTTCTACAGAATGATACGGATATATTATTAATAAACGCAATCTGTACGTGTAACTGAAAATATTGAATTTTGTTAGGAATTGGCATCCAAAGTACTTCAACGAATGCCGGTAGAAAATCTAACTTCCAGAGCAGCAATTAAAGCCGAAGTTTGCTATATGCAGAGTGTTTCTGAGAAGGATTTAGTTTGTTTCTAATTATATTTTATTTTTTATATACAAAGAAGAAGGGAAAATGAAAGCAGGTTTTAAAATGGTAGCAATTTCAAATCCCACCTAAAAACAAAATGTACCAATTTGAAAGTTATGCATGCAATCGAAAAAAAAAAATACTCATTTGTATTTATCTACCAAAATATCAAAAACTTTTAATATTTTTGACATACTAGTATGTATTACAGGATGACGTCTGTGAAATTATTGAAAACAGAGAAGCATATAAATCAGGTCGTGAATTGAGAGAAGAAGCAGAAATTGAGAATGAAATGGAGTATCAAGAGAGATATGCACATATGCCTTGTGTAGGTACTCGTGTCCGAAGAGCACCAGATTGGAGCTGGAAAAACCAAGATGGACATGGTGCAGGAACTGTTGTAGGACATTCTAAAAGAGGTGCAGGACAGTGTTCATTTTTATTATAGTCAACATTTCAAAAACTCAAAAGAATAGAAAAGCAGTCGAAATGCAAAGGGTAAAATACAAAATAATAGACATCTAGCATCAAGAAAATCAAATTTTCCTTCCTTACTGTATGTTACTAATATATACATGTGACTAGTCTCTAATAGAAATGTTTCTGAATATGAAACGAATCCGAATCTGAAAATGAATATGAAACGAATCTGAATCGGAGGGATCTCGATCCCGATGTGAAAATGAACACATGTATGATTATAGATTTTTTTCTTTGGTACACATATATCATTTTGTAACCATTATAAAAGGTTTAATGTGTATGTGACCCCCCCCCCCAAAAAAAAAAAAAAAAAAAAAAAAAAACTAAATCCTGGGAGTAATAAGTCCATTATTTAAATCATATATGGATGTTATATTTGTACATTACTTGTAGTGATGGGAAAAATAAGAGTTAATGAAGTAAGCTAGATTTACTTTTTCTTGGGGCTAGGGAGTGTGTTTGAAATGTCAAGGGAGAACCAGGAATTTTGCTTAAGGCGGGGAGGGGGCCATACTAATAAATTCCCACAGGGAGATAAATAAATACCCTATTTCTCCGACTACGATATTTTTTGACCAAAAAAAAAAATCCCAACTCTCCCCGGATGTGAAAAAACCTATCTGTGTGTGGGGACTTGTCATGCTTGTGTAATTCTCCTCGACCAGCTTATGAGGGGTCCGCCCGTGTTTCTCAAAGGAGGGGAGGGGGGTGGGGGGAGGGGGCTGGCAAGTTAATCTTTGCTACCAGGTAATTATATTACATACAATTTAATAACTCTGGATACCTGGGGGCGGCGCTTGACTACTTTGACACCTTCCATCGCTTGATCGCTACTGAACGGCCTCTCAGTTCGTTGTCAAAAAACAATTGTATAATATCAGGCCCGTAAGATAGAGACCAGCTCCCCTTCCTATTAATTTTGCCGTTATATACTACCTAGTGTAATCAGATCAAAGTTATCAAAATTACGGTTATGTCCCTCATAGATAAAGTTTGTAGACTTGATTTTTGTTCAGTTGGGCCCCATTCCCTTACTGTAACTGTATCCTATAGATTAGCCATATTACATACTACATGTAGTAATAAGTGTCTTTTAAATACATACAAAAGCTATCAGTTTCGTATAATTTTATTGTTTAACTCACTAGATATTCGTTCCTCGGGAGAATTGTGATTTCTTTGAGATGTAAAGAACAAATTAAACTTTTTACTATTTATTTTAACAAGCTACATTTTACGCCAATCAAGAAAATTTTCAGTAAAATGAGAGGAAACGTTTAAACTAAAAAGAAAAAAAAACTTGTAGACATCAATGTAAATCGCCGAAAACTTTCGACAAAAAATTTGGCCTGCGAGAAAGTGGCCAAGGGGCTGCTGAAAAGGTTATTTATCCGACATATTTGCAATTGCATATAAATATATAAAAAGACTCGTATGTATACAGTCATTTACACAGAATATTTTCAAGAAAATAGAGTCCAGAACACGATTATTGAGAGAAACAAATAATGTAAGTAGGCGAGTAATACAACAATGATACTTTTACGAGCTGTTTTTTCCGTGAGTTGAAAGGGTACCTGTTCTGTTATTCAGTCTATAGAATTTGACTTGTCCCTTTTATAATACGCCATCCCAATGACAAAAATATAAACATCATCCACTATTTTTTTTTTTTTATGTAATGACATATTAAACACAGATACAGATACATATACTTGTATTTCGCCATCGTCGGATACCCACGGGTGATCTCGTCTTTTACTCATCACTGGGGTGGGTATCCGACGATGGCATTTAGCGAAAGTAATTTATGAACTAGTTAAATTTAGAAGGAGGAGGAGGATCAAGCACTTTTCAAATGTAAACTTGATATATACCTAGTCATCGTAAAATTCAAAAAAATAAATCACAGAAATAATCATATATTATTAATGTTTAATGATTAGTTTTTCTGATGATATTTTTCTCAGTTTTCAAATCGGGATCGAGATTCTCCCGTTTCAGATTCGTTTCAGATTCATTTTCAGAGTCGGATTCGATTCATATTCAGAAACATCTCTAATAATAAATCGTAAATTTTCCTTTGGACAGTTGTTGGAGTCTATATACACAGTGTTAGAATATTTTGGAGCTTCTGTCTAATTTAAAAGTTGATTTATGATTATCTTACATGTGGTTTTTTTTACCTAGTTACAATATTGAACAATCAAAAATGGATTTTTTATTTTTGGGATCTTTTTTTTTTAAATGAACTTCTTTTCAGTTGGATGGATTAATGTTGAATGGGACACAGGTCTTCAGTTGTCATATAGATATGGTGACAATGGCGTTCTAACAGAGTATGACATTGTACCTTGCGATGAACCTAGAATACTAGAGAACCAAGCAATTGCTGTTGGATGTCTAGTCATGAGAGGTATAATTGTAGCTTAATGGATCACATTTATTAATCGTAGTAAAATGGATCACTTTCATATGATCGTAGTTAACTTGATCACTTTCATACGATTGTACCTAAATGGATCACTCTCATATGATCGTAGTTAAATGGGTCATTTTCATATGATTGTAGCCAATTGAATCACTTTCATATGATCGTAGCTATCTGAATCACGTCATATGATCGTAGGTAAATGAATCACTTTCATATGATCGTAGCTATCCGAATCACTTTCATATGATCGTAGCTAACAGAATCGTAGCTATCCGAATCACTTTCATATGATCGTAGCTATCTGAATCACTTTTATATGATCGTAGCTATCTGAATCACGTCATATGATCGTAGCTAACAGAATCACTTTTATATTATACATGTAGCCTACCTGGGTTACTTTTATTTATCACTGAAGCCCAAGTATATTGGAGGGTTTTATTGATTAAAATAATGTAAAACATATTATGATCAGGAAAAGTAACTTCTGTTAAATCTGTTGACGGACTAAACTTAATATATTTAAACTGAATATATTTAAAATATCCATGTAGGTAGAGACTGGAAATGGGATGAACAAGATGGAGGGGAGGGAAACATCGGAACAGTGTATCGCCTTAAATCGCCAACAGAGATTTATGTGAGAAAAACATCTTTTCATATATGGAATATTCATTAATTTTCATTTTTTTTTTTTACATTTTAAAAAACATAAACGTTTTTGTTAGGTTCGCTGGTCAAATGGAAACAAGAGCAATTACAGATACGGATACAATGGCAAATTCGACGTAGAATTATGGTAACTTGATATACTGGTATATAAAAATTGAGTTATCTGCAAATTAAATAGTCTTAATTTAATTGTTTTTGCACAGTGATCCATTTGATCCAAATATAAGAGAAATTTTAAAAAGACAAGAAGAAAAGCAAAGAGAACCAAGGGCTTATTCTAACACAGGTATTATAGGTATTTTCAGTATAGTTCTATCAAAAGTATTTCTTATGTCAAGTCGTAAAATTTCAAAATCTGTCTGAGGTTCAACCCAAGCTACATTTGAACAGTTTTACAGATAAATTCTAATTCCATACTCTATATCTTTACTGATTATTTTTCGTTATACAAGTAGGTCAATGTGAGACAAGGGAAACATATGCATCTTCATATTTTCGAGATAATGCAATCCCACGTGATGCAATATTAAATCCTACAGAGTCAAACAGAAAAAAATCCAGCATCACTCCAAAGACAACGTCAGTAACAAATAAGACTAATACACCATACTATAAGAATTCTAGGGACAGATCATCAAGCAGGAGGTGGCAATGGAGAGCTGATAAATGGACTGATTTTCCAGATGAAGAAAATGAAACAATACAGCAATTTTATACACAGACCACAGGAAGAACTTTCCTTATTACTCTTAATGGACAATTGTAAGTTGAACATTTTAGATTATTTTTTATAGATAGGCACTACCTTTAAAAATTTGAACATTGATTATCATAATATTTTGTTTTGAATAATTAAAAGTGAATAGGCTTTCTATTTATTTTTCACAGTATTTATGAGACTTTCAATGATTGTTTTTTTTTTTTTTAAGTTTTACAATGTAAATCTACTTTTCTCGAGGGGTTTGGCTGCAAATTTTCAATTTTGAATACACTACTGGAGACACAAACAGGAAGCGATTTCTCGATAAATTTTACTTTAATTTTATGTTTACATTTCTTTATCACATACTAGTATGGAATTCTTGCATTTTTACAATTTCTCTAACATTCTCCAATCATTGACTAAACAATGTAAGAGGAAAATTTTCCCCGCTCTGTTTTCAAATGATTGTTGAAGATATGTAAAGTTCAAAAGAAAGTAAATTGACATAATAAAAACATAATCCAGTTTTTCATCCTATCAGTAATCGCTATATATTCTATTGAGTGATTCATTTTATGTTCATGCCACGTAACTTCTTAGAGAAACAATATCAAAATGAAACCAATCAATCAGCGTACAACCTTTAGTCAGCCAACGAAAAGCTTTGTTTTAAAAAAGGTAGATCATATAAAGAAAAAAAAGATTGGTGATAAAGAAGGAGTCAGTCGTTTCACTTCCTCTGCCTCTTAATCCCTAAAATTGCATTGGTTGTGATTTAACTATGAGCTAGCTCTCAAGGCCCCTGTTTTCCTTCTTATATTTCTGATTTAGCAAATAGATCAGTTATAGTTATATTACATTACAATTATAGCCATACGTTGCAGTTTTTTTTTTTCTACTAAAATGTAAATGGGTCTCAGAATTTGCAAGTTTGAAACGAAAAATCGACGAATGAAAAGAAGTAAAATGTAAAAATGAAACATTCCATTCACTTTTTTTCACTTTACAGGTATAGAATTAATCTTCAAAAGAAATGGATGGTGAATACCAGTACCAAAGAAGTTATTGATATCAGATTGTTATAATGAAATACATTGATACATGCATGGTACTTGGCAATGTTCAAAAAAGAAAGGTTGATAACTTAACGTAGGTCGCGGGTTTGCTGACGTCGTTAAAACGGGGTACGCAATTTATATGATTTAGGCGACTTTCTTGTGCACATTTGATTATGACGTCACAATAAAAAAGAAATCATTATTTAGCAATAACTTTTGTTGGAATTGGTAGTTTAGTGTTATATTATTTAAGCAACAACTTATCACAAATAATGAAGGTTTTTTAAGATTTGTATAGTCGATACAATACTTAGATATAACTTTTGTTATTACATGTACGATTCGAATGATCGACACTCTAAGTATTAAAAACGTTTGATTATTTGTTATCAATCGCATCTTCTCGGGCCTTTCCGGCAAGCTTGGAAAAACAAGTGGTTGTTTTTCGGCTTGTCGGAAAGGCCCGAGATATTGCGATTGATTTGTTTTCACTTGGTATCGCGAAACGATATGGACACAAGGTTCAACTGACCTTTTTCCTTTGATTGTTTTTGAATTAACAGTTTGTTTTATTAATAAAGAAGCCATTATTTCAAATAATCGCAAATTCACCTGTTGCACCAAAAGATTAAACTTTATTTTTAAAAAGGATATTTTTAAAATATATAGATTTACAAGTTTAAATCACAAATTAAATACTGCTAAGGTAGAACTTTAGAACTAGTCATGGACAAATTATTTATTTTCTCTCCCAGTCGAGGACAGCTTATTTATTTTCAACATTTTCGAGGACAGATTATTTATTTCCCATATCTGCCAGCCCCCCCCCCCCCCCCCCCCGATTGAAATGGCCGAGCCCTAAGCAACAGCTTACAATGCTTTTATTCGCTACTTTGCTTTCCATATCCAACAAGAAGAATTAATGTTCTATTCATTGAAAAGTCGCCAAAATAAACAAAAAAATTGGCCGTTGATTACGTCGGATAAAATTAATTTTTAAATTTTCGTCCCATTTACCCCTCTGAAAATGTGGCATGTTAAAATAAATATTTTGTTTCAATATATACTGAAAATATATTGTATTTAGCCGGTATATTTGGCAGAAATTGGTAGATTTGAGCGCCTTGCTGAATGGTCTAAAAAAAAAAAAACATTTTATATACTTAAATTACTTGAATTAGAGGATACCAATTTCCGCCAGCACGCTGGAAAAGAACAACACAGTCAAATGTAATATTAATGATACATCTTATCTACGAAAAAGAAAGCAAAACAGAACAAACAGAAAAGAAACGGTAAGAAAACAACACATAAAGAAAGTAAATTGGAAGAGAGAAACTAAAGGATTGATTTTTGTTTTACGTCCCTTGCGAGAATTTTCACTAATATAATACGTACAAAAAAACCTAATCTGAAGAGAAACATGTCTAACAATCATTTCATTGACATTGAATTATTATGATAAGATTCACGGGTCACTTGAAAGCAGATAGACGTGAATTTCTTTTTTTTATTAAAATTATTTTATCTTATTTTTTTGCACTGAATACCGCATAGATATTCACGACGTCAAGCGTGACTTCGCGATATTTTATGACGTCGTTCTTAAAATGTTACATTTTGTGATATAAAAGCAATTATCCACATTTAAATTACGCGAAAACTAACTCGAAGACATATTAATTTTTTTACATTGATTTATTTCAGATCAATTCTTTGTTAAAATACCAAAGGGGAAACAATTTCGTCTGCACCATTTAAAAGTTATTGATATTTTTTGGAACAAAATCTTGCCTCAAAACGAGCCGAAAACGACGTCGAAAATGTAACGACAACAATGGCATGTTTGGGATTTAATAACACAAAAACGATGCAGACGAATTTTTTAAAATTTTCAGAGAATGTAAAACGAAAGAAGAGGATTCATATTACGAATTTTCATGGTATGTTTTCGGACACTTTTAAATGGCCTGCAAACCCGCGACCTACGTTAAATTCAGAAAGCTTTCTTATTTTGTATTGAATATGCACTTGTTTACTTTAAAAAATGTATGGTTGAATACGTATTTCATTTCTTTATAAATTTTATCTTTTCCATATATCCAACGATTGATTGTTATATCTATCTGATCATTATGTTAAAAGAAGTAATGAAAAACACACATTGTATCATTTTTTTTTCAATCTACTTTTGTGTAATGTTTTTAATTGGACGAATTCACATACTGTATGGAGGTTGTATTTATTTGTTTATCCTGTTAAATAACCTGTTAAGATTTTCTAAGGGAATATTGTTAAGATATATATATTGCAGTTGAGAAACACTAGGAATTTTATAAATAATGATTTTATCCCTTACTCCCCAAAGGTGTGTTATCACAAGCAATAAATTTCAGAGGACATTGTAAGGTTACAAAAATTTCTTCGGAATGAACTAAGATGGCTATTAACCAAGTTATTTGCTGCATACGTATGATGGGAAAAGTCAGCTAGGAATATTTCTATCAATGCCCGCACTATGGCAAGCCTTTTAACGATTTATTCGATTAAAAAGATATCTATTTCAATTCGAGAGATAACTCTTTTAATTTGCTTAAAAGATATCTCTTTTACCCAGACAGAAATCCTTAACACTTTTTAATCAAAAGAAATATCTCTTTTACCTAAGATATATTTTTTACTCGAAAGAGATATCTCTGTAACTAAAAGAGATATCTTTGTTACCTTGAGAGGCATCTTTTAAAGCCAGAGAAATATCTTTTATAGATAGAGAGATATCTCCTTAAGGCTAAGTGTTATTTTTTTTAACCCTAAGAGATATATCTCTTTAACGCTTAGAGACATATATTTATCAATGTTAGAAGAGATTTCTCTCAAAGTTAGAGAGATGTTTCTTGAGATTTTCAACAAGAAATGTCTTCCTAAGTTAAAAAAAAAGAAAGAAAGATAACTCATTTAACAAAGGGGATATCACTTTTACAGTGATCATAAAAATGAAATAATTCTCATTTTCCTTCTGATTTGAAAAAAAGAGACCAAGAACTTGCAATAAATAAGTCACCTCAGTGGAATAATGTAGAGAAAAAAAAACACCGAAGATTACACAATACGTACTTTCAATAATCTAATTATTGCTAAATTTTTTATTTATAAAACGTTTAATAGACGCAATAATTGATCCGTTTTTTAAACACAATAAGTACTTCGCTTCACCAAGATTGACACCAATTACGTCAGAGCAATGGCGATCAAAATATGCATATCAAGAAATTCAAACTTTGAATCACCGAAATACCAGAAATACCAAAAATATTATTTTTCTTGCAAAGAAATTTTAATTGAATGATTTTACAGGCATGTAAGCTTTGATATATCAATAATTCTTGAATCGTCATAAAAATCTGTTAAGAACCATACTTTTACATGCATATAGCATACATGTAAAATAGGCTTAAGATTCTATTACACTAGGCTTTAGTTTTCTTACTGTTTTGTTCTTTCTGTCTCTTTGTGTTATATACTTTCCTTCATATTGTTAGGCCATTAATTTTACAGTAAACTGTCCACGGATTTCTCGTTTACTCGATCACGACACGGGGCAAACTGGGTCGACAGGATATTCTGAATCCCGCATGCACGGCACCTGATCCCTACTCTGCTTTTAAAGGTTCGTGTTTGTTCTGAATGCAACGGAAATTTATTAGACAAATCGTACAAATAATTACATTTAAAAAAAATGAAATTGTTAAGTTTGTTGGACAATTTTAAACTTTTTTACGCCGAAAAACGTTAATAAATTACATTTTGAATAGTAGATTAGTAGATATGTAGTCGAGATTGTGATGCTAAAAATCGTTTGTCTCTGACTTTGTTTCTCTGTTGTGTTGGGAGCAACATATTGTTGTTGAAGGACTCGGCGTGTATTATAGTCCAACCTACTATTTTCAAAAATTTAAAATCTACAGCCTGTCACTGACACTGCCGTTTAAAACACAGACTTTATATAATGACACTGTCGTCTAAAACACAGATTTAATATAATGACACAAATGCAAATCCCTTTAGACAGAAAATGTTCCAGTAGGTAGGGAGGAGCAATTAATATTTGATGAAAAAGACGCTGTTAGCTAAGACAGCTGTTATTAAACACAAAACACTAATAATAATTAAAAAAAAAAACATTCAGATATTATTTTCTAAATTCTCCGAGTTGCAGAGAGAAGATAATGAACTGGTGTTGTTTAATTATCTGTGTTTACTCTTCATGTCTGCAAAACCTCCTGGTGCAATATTAATCTATCGATTCAAAGAAAAAAAATGATACACTAAATGATGATACCCTGCATTTGCCTAGGTTTTCGTGGTACTTGAAACTTTTCAGTTGAAAGGATATAGTACTTTTAAACTGTGTGCTTAGATTTACCTATATGTAGTTCTAAAATGTACTCCATAACAACTCACCAAACAAGCGATCAGCTTACGAATGGGCTCTTTCTGGATTCCATTAATTAAGGAAAACCGGACAAAACAGGTTCTGATGAATATCATATCACGTCCCGGTAGATGATTGTGTACATAGACATAGTATAAATGATTGTCGTCACATAATTACAGGATTTTCAAAACAAAATAGGCTATCAATATCATCCGTATATACCTGAAACCTACTGGCGGGCATCCAAAGACTTGTTTCAAGATATGTCGTTGCTGGAGAAAATGTTAACAAGTTTTGTTTTTTGATTTTGAAAAAAAAAAATGAAAATATCGAAACCGTTCAATATCCTCAGTTAATTGTTGTTACCTCATCCAACTTTGGACATGGAAAGTAGTACGCACTCAGATTTAACTGAAAACACAACTGCATTGGAGACAACTTTCACAAAAAATTTACCTGCCAAAGGAATACAAAGTGGTTACGACTTACCAGTATACGGTCTTGATAATGGACTTTTTTATTCAATACATATTCCTGCAATTACTTGCATCTTTCTTAGCTTTGTATCAGTTTTAGCGGTCATAATTGCATCTTTTAAATCACGAAGCATTAAGACCTTTTTTTCATGGACAAAGAGCGAACGATTAGTTCTGTATCTGGCTCTGTGTGATGGACTTTTCAATATCGCTCATGCCTTGGACCATACTCAAATGATTGTAACTAGAGACCATGTATACCCGAAGGAATTGTGTAACTTTTATGCTTTTATGTTGATCGAATTTGTCACTGCCCAGAACCTAATGGTTAGCGCTGTTGCACTTAATGTTTTCGTCCTGATTTATTTTTCAATGGATCTGAATTTTGGCAAGTATGATTGACGTCTTTTATTATACACTTTCGGCCTTCCTTGCGTTGGAGGAACTTTAGCCGCAATCTTTGAAAAGCTTGGACCTAATGGTTATTCGTATGTTTTTTTTTTTTTTTTTTTTTTTTTTTTTTTTTTTTTTTGTTTTGTTTTTTGTTTTTGCTATTTTCATATTGATTTGCATAACTTGTTCGCTGATTGAATTTTTTTAATGAAAAGTAAAATTAAAAAAAAAAAGAAAAGAAAAGAAAAGTCAATCTGGTAAATCAAATTTTTCACTTAGGTTTTTCAAATTATCGAGTATAATAAAAGTATGAACTATGATTCTTCAGCAAACTATTGTTAACCAGAGTTAATTTGAGTTAATTGTAGTGTTTTAATGGAATTTTTCTCATTAGTTGATGGATTCTTTCCTTACCCGCAATTTGGCGGTAAATATTTAATTTGAATTTTTGATACAGTTTCAACAACATTTTCTCTTAGTTGATGGATTTAAGCTGTTAAAATCTTATCAATTAAAAAAAACCCTCTACAATTGATTCCTTCTTTGATTTTAAATTACTTACTAGATGCTATATTGACAAGATTAAAGGAGGAGTAGCCATTTTCTTCCTTACCACGGTCCCATTACTAGCTGTCCTTATTACAAACATCATATTCTACGGTTTGACATTGAGGCGGATAAGGAGCGAGTCGCGGCGCCTACAAGACACACTGGGACAGGAGGTCGCCACCACTCGAGCTGCATTAAAAGCGGGGAAAACCATGTTGCTTTTTGTCACTGCCTTCATAATTCAATGGTGGCCCCTGTCTCTGTATGGAATATGGCAAATGATTGCCCCGGTACCTCTAGCTTTGTTTCAGTTTGTGACCACGTTTTCAAACGTTGGCGGCGTTTTGAACGGAATTGTTTACATCATTATCAGACGACGAAGGAATAAAGCCAAAGCAAGGAATGCAACAAAGAAAAAAAAATTTCAAAACGTTACCACTATTTGCGAGAGAGTAAAAGATTCAAATATTTGAGTCTGTATTTGTGTGATTTTCTTTCTTAGAATAAGGATGCGAAAATTTGGTAACTTAAAACGTTTTCTTTTATGCCTCTGGTCGTTCTGCAATATAGACAATGTTATTTGTTTTCATTTTAGCAATAGATATACATGTATATCATTATATCATTATAAGTTTAGGAATCCAGTATAGGTATTGTAATTCTTATTCATTTTGATTGTTGGGAATATTAAAAATGTTTAAATTTGACAAACAATTTTAAAGAATAACAAACAGACAAACAAATGAATAAATAAATAAATAAATAATAAATGAATATATGCATAGTGTATTATTTGATCTGTCCTACATCTATGCCTGTTTCTTTAATTTACACAAGTTTGACGAATTTCTGGACAACTTTTTAAACTCTTTATACCATGTACTGGTTCATAATTTGAAAAGTTCATATTTTAAATGATATGGTGAAATTTTATAAACGACTATATTTATCATCTATTTCAAGCTTCGTTTATGTAAGGGAAATGGCTTCAAACAGTCCATTCTGTAAAGAACAGAAGGCTATAGACCCGAGATCAGTTCCTTCTCTCAAAGAACGTATTGTTTAAGGCCTTTCCCGCACTTAAAATATGATTTTCCTAGTTCTACGAATCAACCACAAATATGTAGAAAATAAGTATTCGTATTCAGAATGCATTGTGTCAGACAATGACAAGTTCATTGTTTGCAGAATGGACAGGCATAGGTAAGCTTGGACGTGCATCATTTTGTCGAATAGCTATTGTGTTCCAAGAAAGCAACATAGCAAGAGGTCTTTGTCTTAAGAATATACAGATACAAGTGGGTTGTAAAACAATTATAGACATGTATGTGATACTTCAAAATCAATTCATTGATTGCTTTGTAGAGGTAAACATGTCTTCTGATGGGGAGAGTATAGTCTTGAAAGAATTCAAATCCAATTTACTCAAAAATGCACAAAATAAGGAAAGAATTTCGAGTGATGTTTCGAACTTGAAACAGAAGTAAGTACAGTGCAATAGTAAAAGATAATATTTAGCGGAACTTCGACCCGAAAATGGACTTCATTTCCCACGAAATAATGATAATCAAATCAGTCCTGGAAATGTTTCATTTGAATTCGTGTTGAGGAGATGTTACATGTAGCTGTAGCAGTATGCTGGTGAGTGTATAATCTGTGTTATGTATGTATTGAATTAACGATAAGTCGAACCTCGACCTGAAATTGGATTTCCTGTTCAACGAAATACTGGTAGTTAAGTTCAAATCAAATCTGGAAATATTTTGATTTAAAATATTTTTAGAGGAACTATCAATGACAGCAGCGTAATGATTTTGTGCAAACATCATTACTGTTGAATTTTAGTATGCGATCTTCGATCTGAATTGTGGAGTTCTTTAAAATTAAAGTTGTTTATGTCATTTAAATCAAATCTGAAAAGGATCTATTGAAATCCGTGTCTTGAGTATACGTGTATATTAATTACAGGAGTGTGATGATGAAAACGGTCTTTTATAATTAAGTATTGAATTAACTTACGTATATCATTCATAGATTTAAAGTGTAAAATCAAGCGAATGCTGTGCAAATATTATGTTTTGGATCAATTAACTAAGATGTAAATTTTCTTTTAATAATTTACATGTAAATTACATGTAAATGTTTTATAGTTAATGTATTTGTTTTTTCTCTCATGGGTACATTCCAATCTATACCCTTAATTCTCCCTTAAACCTTTCGCTCTGTTTGTCATAACTGTCCATTATTTTTGAAAAAAAAAGACATTTACAAGTAACGTGATGGATTGTTTTCGGAGCTGGCACAGCAATAACCTATAGAATGAACAAGTGAAAAATTCTCGAATGGGACGTAAAACAAGATAGAATCAATCAATCAATCAATCAAATCCTAAGATATAGCTTACATAGCCTTGGCCATGGGGCCATAAAACAAAGCTGAGCTCACTTATGATCTCAGTTTTCTACGATAAATTCTTTAGTAAAAGTGAGATTGTGAAAAAAAAAATCTGAGTTCCTCTAAGTTTTATGGCAGCACATCCTGGTGCTTTACGAATAGAGATTCGTCTCATCAAAATAACTAGAATGTTCCAAGGAAAGCATGTGTCGCCTGCTTTATAGCTTCATTAAAAATGTAAATTAATCTAAGAGTAGTCAACTATTTATTTACCACTAACATGATACTCCACGCTATTGCCTGAAAAGAAAATATGGTTTCTCAACCCACAAATGAATAATTAAAGTGAAAGGGCTTTTATTAGTAATAATTATTTATCATTTTATTAAGTGTTTTCAACAATCCTCTGAAAGAGATTTCAGTTTGTCTTTACTGCAATTGCAAGTGTACATGATCCATTGTGGAATACGGATCACGATGTATTTTCATAGTATTTGAACATAAGTTTGTGTGGGAATGGAATACCATACAGTTTCAAAGTACAATATCATGAGCTTATAAAAATGCATAAATGCTAATTATCAAAATCTTGCCTCTCAAAAGTCATGCGTTAAATTATACTGCTTGGGGTATTTTTCGCAAAGTAGGTCAAAGGTCAAGGTCAAGTGGATTGTATCTCTGGTATTTTTCTTAATGTTTCATGCGAGTCAGTGCAAATGTTCAGTAGCATAGATGTACCTCTTAAATGTCGAAAACATGCTGTATATCGGCACTATAACTACCGGTATTTTGAAAAGTAGGTCAAAAGTTAAGGTCAACGGTCATAAGGTCAGTAACTGTGGCTATTTACAAAAGTCATAGTGCCAATTAATATGTTTGCAAAATATCATATACCTCTTACAGTTCTTGAGATATTAGTTGTGACAGACGGACAGACAGACAGACAGACGCCAGTTAAAGTGCTGCGTAAGTTTCGCTCTGCTCTGCGAGCGACACGAAAAAAGACAGCAAGGACAGAAGAAACGCAAATGAAAACAATTTTTAACAGCAGTTGAGCCAGGACTTTCTGATAATTTTTGTCTGCCTGAAATATTGTAAAAGCCATGCACAAACGGAAAAAAAATTAATTCTTACAAGGAAATATACACTGGAATATACAAGGAAGCATCTGAATTTAGATTCTCTCTTCCTATATGAAATTCAGAATCGCTTCATGAAAGGCATTGCAATGCAACTCATTTTTCTTATATGTTCAATATGGAGAATGTTATAGCTGAAGAGTTCTGGAGAAAAAGAGCTGAAGAGGAAATGATACAAAGTAAATCTACTGCGTGTGTTTACATTAATAATTTTCATTATTCTCAGAAAATATTATGTTTCAAAAATTAGCATTGACGAAAAGTATATTTTTTTGTATTTTTAAGTCTTTTTATTAGAGATTATTTAATATAATTATTTCATATACGCATTTTAGCATGTAGATTCTGAATTCCTATGTGTTTGTAATTATTTTTTTTTAGATACTCGCAGAAAACATCAGCATGGAAGAGGAATATGCACTGTGTTTATTCTAGATATGTCGGAAAGCATGGAAGGCGAAGGATTTCGTCAAATGAAAGAGACTTTTATTGACATCATGCAAGGTATCACAGTCGTAATTCATGTAAACATATTTAATTGATTATGATCAATAATTACTTCTGTACACCACTTTTAATGAAAGTCTATTGCTTTGAATTGAAATAAAAGCCCATTAAAATTAATACGTTTATTTGCTTGGCATTTCTTTTTTGTCATATTTGCTTTGTATTTTATTTAAACATGCACGAGGGTATTGCGAATCAAGCACGTCCGCTGAATTTGTGTTGTGTGCCTCGTGTGAATGCTTTGGGTGATATTTGTCATTTTCTATATCCACGTGTTTCCGGTAAGATAACCTATATTGACCTTATTGTTGACCAATACATGTCAATTGTGTGTTATAAATAAGCATGTTTCAATTTTTGCTCTAAGTAAAAACCCCACCAATATTTTCCAATATTTTACTTTACGGTAGAAGAGGTTGCCAGACTGCGTCACTGAAAAGTGTTTCTTGAAAAAAGTATTACTGTACAAATTTCTGTAATTCCTGGTACATGTAAGATTTCTGTTAACTTAATTATTTATTATGGATATGTATTATTCTTATTTATTGAGAGCGTGATTTAACAGCAGTGATTTAATCTATCTGTTGTTAACGTCTAATGTCAATAAATGCTCTACTTATGTGAAGTAATTGAGTGTGTTTAACGTTTTAATTCTAAAAGGCACAGTAAACTAATCTAAAGCCAAAACTAGTGTTGGAAATTTATTCCTACAAAAGACCCGTGACATATTTTGTTGGTTTTTATGTGTACCAGTTGATTCGATAGAAAGAGCATATTCTACGTACGAACAATTTCGAAAAAGCGGCAAGCTACTGACATATAAGTTGATAATACAAGTTTATCAACATTCTTCATTTAAGTCAGCATTTTGCAAAGTCTTTGATCTATACTGCTGTCCATTGACCATGTTTGCAAATATAATCTGTCGTTATGTCGAATGTTGACTAACGTCTTTCATACAAATTGTTCGGCCATTATTTTCGTACTGAATAGTCCAGGGATTTCTTTGTTTTCTCGATCATGACTAAGGGCGCATGGAGGGTGTTACCGTTGGACAGGCATGACTACCCTTTTATGAAAACTAATCTTATCCTATTTCAGATGTCCTTTTAGGCTTTTCTCAATATCTCTATAGTTTAATATTATTTTACTTTTGAGCATGGTAAATGTTCGTTAGCTTTACTTTTTCCTTTATCTGTCTATTTGCTTGATTTTTTTTTGATTTTTTTTTTTTGCTGGCCAGTGGAATGGAGTTTATTTAAACAAAAAATTTCTCTTATTTCGTGTGATTCTAGACTGTTCTACTATTGTGCATTCTATTTTGTATTTTTTCCTTCTTTTCCAGAATATGAAGCTTTAAATTTAGACGACAACATCGCTGTGATTGGATTTGGAGATGAAATAAGATTTCTTCATTATTATTCCAACAATTATCATTCTATTAAAAATTGTCTAGGCAAGTAGCGTTTACATGTATCCACAAGTATTTACGAGGGTTGTCACAGAAAAACGCGAACTTTTTCAATATTTCATAAACTACCTGACCAATATTATTCAATTTTGGCTTAATGTTGGGAAATGACATTTTTGTCATTTTGGCTAAATAATATAAGGTTCTAATGCCATTTGCATTTATAAACAACATTTAAAGGGTGTTAAATATCGGCGCACTGCGATTTCTTGACTTTGTGTAAAAAGTCAATACTTTGACATCATAAATAATAAAAATATGACGTTATATGCACAAACACTTTTAATTAGATATTGCCAAAAACGGCAACGTCAAGCTATATATAATGCGGCGCACCAAAATATCGCTCATTATTGTGTGGAGCGGGGTTTGACTCCTGTTCATTCGGAAAAAGAACTGGGAACAACACAAATACATGTATCGATCACAGGTTTATACATAGTAAGAGGTTCAAAGATGAATGGACTGGTTATCCGATAGAAGAAGCCTTTGGTAGACCAACAAAAATGACGACAAACTGAAAAGGCTAGAGCTGGACGTCATACGTGGAGACCACCGTTAAGTATTCGAGCAGTTAGGTTTACATGTGTATGAACGAGGTTGGGGAATTGTCTCTTAAAAGAATTTATTCCTTTATTTATTCTTAACCGTAGTACGTGTGAAATGGATAACTATTAACTAAAAGAAAATAAAATGCAGTATCGAATTTATGCTTTGAACGAATTTTTAAAGACGCACGATTCCTGAACAAATTCAAAAACTCCACGAGCTACATGTACGTTTTGACGTCGTCGGTGTTGCGCCGGCACCTATTTTGAATGATTTGTTTACCAAAGAGAAAAATGTTATTTATAAACATATTTCACTGAAATTTCTGTCAATTATTTTTAACATGTTGATCTTAATGCATACCAATTTTAACTTTATAATATTAGTGAAACAAAAAATTTTGAAAATGTTCGCGTTTTTCTGGGACAACCCTCGAACTAAGCCTTATCTTTGTAGAGGTTCTGTTCTTAATTCTGATAAGTAAATCTTTTTTAAATGCTTCGCAGCACTGTTAAGGCACACTATGAAGAAATCAATGGAATAAAGACGTCCAAAAATAGATGTAATTAATTTATAAATAATTAAATTTAAAACTGCATTCATTTTTGTAAAGCTAGTCTTTTAGCAAATAACTTTAAAATTAATTGAATAAAAATAACATAACCCAGTCTGTATGGAATTTGGTTTGACAGTCACGTGATAAATGCATATAATGTGTGGTGCATGGAGGTCATAAACGAATTACAATATCGCAAGGGTATACCCTAGATCAAATTAAAAATTAAAGTTTTAAATCCTGTCTGTATATCTTAGAAAGAAACAAAATTTTATTAGTTTAAATTTCCATTAAGTGGGTTCAAGCAAAAATGTGGGTGATCTTTACCAAGTATTTTATGTATTTGTTGAGTAATGCTCTCGGTTTTAGAAAGCAGCATCTTTTTTTCACATTAAGGAATATTCCTTTTATGCATATTCACAAAATGGTCAAGATCTATTGAGTGTAGGCCCTTCCGAAAAGGTGATTTAATGTGGCACCTCGATGTTAAACATGCCAATCTAGTAACTAAAACATGGTAGAATCAATTCTATAGATTATCTCGATAATTATTAAATAATGGCACTAATTAAACAAAAATAATACATTGGTATTAGTTGTCTTTCTAACATCTGTAAAATATTTTCTGTTTATTTATAATTAAAAATGCATTCCTCACTTTAAAAAAATAACTTCCACCTCTGGCAGCTCATAAAATTGTCAAATTTTACCATGATGTCGTCATGTCGACAAGTGCATTGCGATCTGTAACTTGTTTATACATTACTGTGTGGGATTTAATTATCGACAAAAATGAAAGCAGTAGTAAGTTTTGATGTAGTTCATTATTCTTATGAAGTTTAAAATATTTCATTTTCTGATATTGTGAGGAATTGTTATCTTTTGTGATGTCAAAGTAAACCCTTGCAGTACAAAATTAGGCCCCTCCCCCTTTTTGTGGCCTTAAAAGTGCTGTGCTGCATATAGATTATCCCATTAAGGGAACATACCAAAGTTTTGCTAGTTCTTGTATGAGAAAAATTGGTATTATACGCACAAAAATAACTACTTTCGTTAGATCATTTTGGTTTTAAATTTTATTCGAGAAAACGATAAATGATTCACTGTAACTAAATTCATCAGAAAAAATCAAAGAAAGTAATATTTGATATAATCAATCCCTGTAAAAAAAATACTTACACCACCAAAACTGCCATTGCAGATTTTTAACTAGTGCCGTAATACTCTTCCTGTCAACACAAACATAAGAAAATTTAATGCCATTGGTCAAAATGCTCATCTACAAAGCATCTTTTATGAGATCAAAAACTATTGCATGAAAGAAACTCCTTATAGAGGCTTTAAATATCAAATGATCCTGATAAAAAAATACAGATACTTAAATATCATTTTAAAAAAATATGTCTCTGTTGTTGACATGACAAATATCCAATATCTGCAACATCTGAGTCGCAGTATATATTTACAATGGCGCATTGCAAAATACCAGGTGGATACATGCGCTTTTTGATTGATCAATTGTATTTTATTTTAAGCCCCATTCGAGAATTTTTCACTCATGTAGAGACGTCACAATATACATTGTACCGGTGAAGGACTTAAAATTTAGACCTATACTCGGCACTAAAGAGCATGGATGAAGTGATAGTTCTTTATCGTACCAACGCCTACCGTGACAAAGGATCTCGGTTTGTAAGTTCTCATTCGAAATTTTCACTTATAGTGCGGCACTCTTGGCGAAGGAACGGGCACTTCATATGTTTACGTTTTAGGTTTGACGCGGCGTGGCGAACGCTACGAGAATCAAATTCAGGGCCCTCTCGGTCACTAACGCTCTACCACAAGGCTACCGTGACTGGTCGCGCCTATTTGATGTATCATATGAATAGAATTTTATAAAATCTCTAATTCATCAATTATACCTTTTCATCATATACTTAGTAGTAAATACATCGATTCCGCACTGTGTGATACGAGTGACGTCACAATACCTTATATCAACAACCGGTCCGAAAACCCATATCACGTGTTAGACCGGCTTTCAAAAATCTATATCAAACCGCAAGTAACGTTTTAATAACGTTAAAATGTTAATTAATACAAAATATATATGAAACAATTCATGAACTAAGATTTGTTGACTTGATTTTTGAAATGACCTAAAGTTGTTTCTAAACGTTCTTAACAAAAAAGAGTAGAATGGCACGAATCATTCGTATATGACTTGAGTAGACTCACATAATGAATATTTTAAATATGATAGATAGAATACTACATACTAAAATCTATATCATATGTCATATCAGTCCTCGGGCCTTCGGTCCTCGTGCTGATATGGGGCCACTCGGGCTAATAAGAAATATGATATGGATTTTTGTATATGTATAAAATATTCTTTATATAATACATCAAACGATTTTTCATTTACATTTGATCTAAAATTTATATTAACAGAAAATATTGACTGCAAGGGACCATCCCCTTTGGAAGCTGGGATACTGCTGTCTTTGTCGTGTATTCAGTTAGGAGGAGGTGAGCGTTGATAATAATGAGGGAACAACAAAAGGGATTCTGAATGTAGAGTTTAAAGGTGCTGTGTTTTAGCATACCATCTGATAATATGTATGGAAAAAAGTTTATGGATAATAAACAGCGTGATTGACTTTCTCAAATATAAATATGTTATACCCCAGGCCATTAGTATATATGTATGCATAGAACATCATTTTACAAATATATGAAAAGTTGAATTTACATACAGTACATGTGTTTGATTTTTAGAAAGACATTAAATCACTCAAAAGTAGCAAATGTATACCGTACCATTGTAAACTAGTTATATTACTTTTAGAAAGTAATATTCAAAGTGGACTTGTTCACACAAATTTTACTTTTGCTCTTAGCCAAACTTGTAGTCCATCGGATGTTTATATTGCTTATGAGATACAGTTTAATAACATTATTCAATAACATATATGGTTATGTACAATATTTGAAGGACACACAACACCTTTGAATCCACTTGTGATCAGAGCTAGGGTTGTCGTGATAACTGATGGAAACCCCACCGACTTGTCTAGTTCTTTGGAGTCGTACAATACATCAAATGACAGCGAGGTGTATTTTTAAAGATACCTTTGAAATACTTAAACTATACCTGTATATTTCATACTATACATGTATATTAAACAATATAAAGTTTACTGTAAAATCCTCAATAAATATTTTAAGGCATTCAATAGACTCTTGTGTCTTGTTGGTGACCAAGGAAAATGGAATCCGTTTACATTCATAGCTGTTGGCAAAACTCCAAATTATGTAAGTGTCTATTGGATCCATTCAATAATTTGTTTTTAATATATATATATTTTTAAATTTACTCTCAAAATAAAATTTATCACCTCCTAGTGCCTTTTAGGAGCATTGGCAGTTGCATCTAGGGGTGGGAGAATATTAGCACGTGATGAAGCTCGACAGACTGCACGATTTTCATTAAACATTGTGAGTTTTCTTGTATTTAATGCATATCAAATGTGAAGTTGAAAATATGACACAAAATGTAATTTCACTTTTTTTTAAATAATTCAAATTGCAGAGAATGGTTAATAGTCTGCTAATTGATTTTCCCGAGGAGTCTATAACGGAATATTTAGTCAGAAGGATTGTGTTCCAAACAAGAAATTATCAACGTGCAAGTGAGGAAGACATTGTAAGTTTTGTTCTACATTATATATATATATATATATATATATATATATATATATATATATATATATATATATATATATATATATATGATTCTTTATATATATTTTTCTTTTATGAAATACCATACTCATTATACATTTCTATGTAAAGAATTCGAACATTCAGATGTATTTATGGAAACAAAACAAAACATTTTTGACATTTTCGTCTTCTTTAAAAATGTCAAAAAAGATGCTTTCCCCTTCCTCACGGGACTCAACTGAAACTTCTAATGGTTAGATATTATGAACATTTTTGAAGCATAATAAATATTCCCTTTCTAAAATTGAGTACACAGGTCGTTCATATCACCTAAATAGTGACACGATTCCTCTGTTTATCATAAGTGATAATAGGTTCATCACAAGAACGGTTTATCATTTCACTGTCTGCTACTCTGCACTTAAAACAAAGCAAGACACTCGATAATTACAGAGTTTTCAACTTTAAACTGGAAATTAATTGCCATTAAATTTATATGTAATCATGTTGTATTTGGAAACGACTTTGTCGTGAAACAATCACAAAATACGTAAAGTTGGTGATTATGATATATTTGTTATTCAGAATCAAATTTGTGAAATATTGAATGAAAAAGGAGTATACAACAAAGACGAGGAGGTGGCTGATGAAAGTGTTGATGAAGAATTTAAGGAGAGGTACTCTTCAATGCCTTCTGTTGGAACAAGAGTGAGAAGAGGACACGACTGGGCATGGGGGGATCAAGATAGTCATGGAGTGGGCACTGTAGTTGGCCACAGTACCAAAGGTATTTAGTTAGAATTTTAGTGGGTACTGTAGTTGACCACAGTTCGAAAGGTATTTACTTACAGTTTTAGCAAAACTGATATATTGATATCGTAAGGTGGAATGTAACATATTCTCAATTTTGTTAAGCGAGCAATGGTAATGAAATAGATATTACAATTTGTTAACATTATCTTAGTTGGATGGATAAATGTTGAATGGGATAATGGTAATCGCCTTAATTACCGCTATGGATATAATGGAGAATTTGAAGCATATGACTTAACCATTTGTGATGAACCAAGAGTACTAGAAAAAGGAAAAGTAGCAGTTGGATGTCTGGTGAGGAAAGGTAAATAAAATATCAAATAAAGAAATAATTATTTACTAGATGATTTCCTGAACCTTTTGTTGGGGTTAAGGACTAAATGGTTGAAATTCAGTTAACACGTAAAGGAGTTCTATTGCCCTATTCATCCAGTCCATATAAAGTTAGAATATTGTGATGTTAATTTGCACGCAGGGGGCAATATGTAAGGAAAACGTACAAATCAATTTAACAACTTTTCTAAGGACCAGATTGGGAATGGGGTGACCAAAACGGCAGCGATGAGAACATTGGGACTGTCTATCGAGTAAAACACAATGGCGTTGTGCATGTAAGAATGTACATGTTCTTTGTAATATATATCATTGAATTTTATTCTGATGTATAATTATACTACTTTTTCATTTATACATGTAATTCTATTACTTTCAGGTGCGGTGGCCAAATGGTAATAAAAGCAATTACCGATTTGGACACAGAAATAAATACGATCTCGTATTGTGGTGAGTAAACAAGCATAATATTCTATACTCTAAAACATTTCAAATATAAGATAATAATAATATTCTTCATATACCCGGTAATTATGTATTTTCGTTTCATTTTATTTCAATTAGATTCCGTTCGTTTGTGGTTTTGAGAGTTGTATTTAATTGTTTTAAAAAATTTATCTAGTGATCCAAATGATCCTGAAGTTATGGAATCGTTAAAGTTCATGGGAAAACAGTAAAAAAAAATCCAGTAAGTTGTCTACACGGTGAAAAATCAGAATTTGATAAGCCTTGATCTGGAAGAAAATAGGATCGTTTTACTAAATGTAGCACATGAATGACCTCATATAATGAACATTTTACTAAGAATCGTCTTTATGTTTTCGGAATTAATCTTAAATTACTTTTTACCTATAGGAAAGACTTCCATAAATTTTCTCTTGAATTTTAGCAAAAGGTATTCATCAGTGAGAAAGGCTGCCAAAGAACACCGAGAAATCCTGAATTCAACGTCCCCGGTACCTAGAATGAAAATTATCGATACATATGTTGGATGGTAGAACACTTTGATGGGAGTTTGAGAATTTGGCCATGACCCTTAACATGTTTCTTTTTTGATAAACAAAGAAAACAGACAACGTTTTACAGATTGATAATATTTTTATCTTATTTAAATTGAAAAAAAGAGATAATTCATCCATTCTTTGAACTACAACGTTACAAGAAACTCAGATATATGATATGCTTGTTGGTTTTTTGATATTTAACTGTATCTGTATTATGAATTACTAATTGTACATCTGTATGTGAATTTATTTTGACGATAATTCATATTTTCCACTTCTTTTGTCCTTATATGCAACGTTCATTATCAAGTAAATGGCATCTTTTTTAAAACTTCACTCTATACATTTGTTGTTTTCAGGGATCTTGATTTATTCTTACAAATGGGACAAAAATGTGAAAATCAATAGTTAATTTCCAAAATTAGATTTTGTCTGGAAACGGTTCGAAAATTATTACAATACTAGAGCCGAGCTCGTTGCAGAGCAACGAATAGGTCTTCCGTTGGAGCAGTGACCTTGAGTCAAGGTCATGCCATATTCTAAGATGATAAATAATCTTTTAAGGGACTATCAACTTGCAATGCTTCGCCAGTAGAAAGACAATAAAATAATGTACACTTTCTATTTTGTGACCTTGAACTTGTGCAGATGACCTTGCATCAAGCCATGACACACTCTGGTTATGACGCAAACCTATCTGTGTTACCGACTTGACAAGTTAACACATGTTCTTTCAGACCACACATCCAGTAAAAGCGTCTTGTTCTTAGTGACGTTGAACTTGAGTCACGGCCATGACACAGTCTGTATGATACCAACAATACCCATTCTGAGTGTTTCCAATTTGACAAGTTTACACATGTTTTTTTCATTTCGTTTCCATATAGTTGTAATTTATTACTTTTAACTCGCTGGCTTCAAATTTTATTGTATATATGTTTTATGTCCAATTTCGATATTGAAAAACGTCGGCATCTTTGAGTACGTGTACAAGGTGCATTACGTTACCCTATCACATCATGTTTTATAACACAGACCATACATGTATATATAGTCAGCGTTATAAAAAAGGTTTAAAAAACCCATTTTATTCATCAAAAATCTCTGCTTAATTATCTTTGCTGATTTCTTACAGAACTAGAGTGTTCCCAGGAATGCATGTGTCGCCTGCTTTTAGCTTCATTAAAGATGTAACTAAGTCTAAAAGTTATCAGCTATTTATTTGCTAAGGCATTGAATAGTTCATGCCAAAAAAACAAAACAAAACAAAACAATCCAGGGATAGTAAGACTGCGATAGAATCTAACAATCAAATAGAAATGCAAATCCTTAACCCCTGAAAGCTAAAATGGATATTAATGAAATTTGAATAAATTTATTATAAATAATTATATATAAATCATTTAAGTACGTGATTTCAACAATCCTTCGAAAGAGGCTTCAGTCTTTCATATCAGCAATTGTCAGTCTACACCATCCATTTTGGAATACCGATCCCGTTGTATTTTCATAGTACTTAAATTTCAGTTTTTGTTTTTGTTTCTTCTTTATTTCATTCAGTGTCAAAATACATTGTCATGAGATCATAAACATGTATAACTGTTAATTATTAAACCCTTCCTCTGTAATTTCAAAAGACATAAGTTAAATTTAACCCTCCGCAGTATATTTTACAAAATAGGTCAAAGGTCAAGGTCAAGTGAACTGTAACGCTGGTATTTTTCAAAATGTTTTATGACAAACAGTGCACACTCTAAATAGCATAGACTTACCTTATAAATATCAAAAAGAAGTTGTATATCGGCATTATTGGTTATTTTGAAAAGTAGGTCAAAGGTCAAGTTCAAGGATATCTAGGTCGGAAGCCATGGAAAAATACAAAAGCCATAGTGTCAAGCTATATGTGCAAATTATCAAACCCATACCTCTTACATTTCTCGAGATATAAGGTGTGACAGGCGGACGGACAGCAAGACAGACGCCAGGTAAATTGATCGCTAAGTGCTGCTCTGCTCTGCAGGCGACACAAAAATGTTTGTTTGATTGTCTGTTTGTTGTTTTACGTCCCTTGAGCTGCCAGCATTTGCCAGTGGAGGGCTGCAAATTCAGACCTATACTCGACACTGAAGGCCATTGAGCAGTGGGGAATTTTTTTCATGCCGGCACCTACTGCTAAAACGTGACCTCGGTTTATACGGCCTCATCCGAAGGACCATACTCCACGTTCTGTAGTGAAATTGTTTGTTTGTTTGTGTGTTAACGTCCCCGTCGAGATTTTTCACTCATATGGAAAAACCACCACTTGCCGGTGGAGGGCTGTAAATTCGACACTCAAGGCCATTGAGCAGTGAGGGATTTTTTTCATCCCAGCACCTACTGCTACACGGGACCTCGGTTTATACGGTCTCATGCAAAGGACCAGTCTCCACGTCCCGTAGTGGAATAGTTTGTTTGTTTGTGTGTTGTTTAACGTCCCTCTCGAGATTTTTCACTCATATGGAAACGCCACCACTTGCCGGTGGAGGGCTGCAAATTCAGACCTATACTCGACACTCAAGGCCATTGAGCAGTGAGGGATCTCTTTCGTCCCAACATCTACTGCTACACGGGACCTCGGTTTATACGGTCTCATGCAAAGGACCGGTCTCCACGTCCCGCAGAGGGAGTCGAACCCACGACGTAAAGATTAACTCCTTACTCCGCGACTCTAGAGCAAACACTCAAACCACTGCGCCACGCGGGCGACGTGGTGGTATTCGAAACCACATCAACGAATCGTAGGGGTAGAAACATTTTGATAAATGTATTATCATTATGAAAATCATGTTCTGACTTAAGCCTGTAGAACGCAATTTCATTTTTTTCTGGGACGGGGCACAAACAATCAAATTTTTTTGATATCTAAGCAAAAAAAAAATAATAAAGATAAAATCATAATTGCGGGGGGGGGGAGGGGGAGGGCACGACCATATAGCTTTAAGCTATATAGTGACTAAGAAGGAATAACTTGTCATTGTCAAAGTCTTTTACCTAAACTCTTCACTTTTAATTGTCAATGACAGATTCTTGTTACAAAGTGAAAAGTATATATTTATATGTAGTACAGCTATCCATCTCATATGCATAATCTGTTTAAAGGTGCTTGGACACAGATTTGAAGTTAATATTTTCTCAAATTTTCTGTATAATATCACGACTTATGTATTGCAATAGCATTTTACACGAAAATATAATTAAAAACTTATTTTATTTGGAAATTATTGGAACTACGAATTCCTGGACGCGTTTGATTAACACATCCTTGCACTTTCACAAATTTTATCTTTATCCTTAACATTTAAGAAAAGAAGCGATTTTGTTGTGTATTAATGAAAAACATTACATCTATAATCCAGAAAATTCAGAGTAGAAATGTTCGAAAGCAAACCCCCTCACTAATATCGTCAGCCCGTGCTCAGTGTTGAGTACAGAGTTTAACAAATTGAATACACCCGTGAAACGTAAACTGTTTTTGTAAACAGGGCACGAGCTCTGTTATTGTTTATGTTTTCAATTCACCGGGTGTGTTCAATTGTTAAAGTCTGCACACACCACTGAGTACGGACTAATAATACTGTGAGTGGGTTTTGCTTTCGAACATTTCTACTCTGAATTTTCTGGATTATACTTTTAATATTTTTCATTAATACACAACAAAATTGCCACTTTTCTTAAGTATTAAGAATAAAATTAAAATTTGTGAAAGTGCAAGGATGTGTCAATCAAACGCGTCCAGAAATTTGAAGTTTCAATAACTTCGAGATGAAATAAAATTTTTATTATATTTTAGTATGAAATGCTATAGCAACATATAAGTCATGGAATTATACAGAAAATTTGAGAAAATATTAACTTCAAATCTGTGTCCAAGCACCTTTAATGAATCGTTTTATCCTAAAGGGAAAGTGAAATCTCAATCAAAATTTGTCACAAATACTGGACTCTCTGATTAATTATAATATACATGTAAGAACGGATCGTCAATTAGGACTGCAGGTTTGATAAATTCACAGCATGCATCTTCAGCCTTAATTAAAACGTTGTTTCGAAATATTACACTGTATCTATAAAAGCGTAAAATTAGAATTGACCTAAAGAATATTTTACACCACAGGGGAAATGCTTCCGTGGCACCAGAAGTTTACAATTTTGATTGACAGGTGTAGCGCCGTGCATGGATTTCATGTAACTATGTACAAATAAGAAATGAAGGGCTCTAAAGAAAAAAGTTATTGTGATTGACATTGTAATTAAAACAGAGACAATTAACAGTAGTTTGGCTGTGCTTGCCTTTCTGACATTTGAAGTAAAGTTTAAGAATAACTTATCATTGAAATGAAGTTGTAAAAGTGTATTATCAATTATTTTCATTTTCATCATTAGATGTGCTAATAAGTTTGTTATATTCAAGTCCATGTATATGTACTCCTTGTACATTTTTTTTTTTGAACCGTGTGTGCAAGTGTAATTAAATTATAAAAAGTTAACATACTTCTTAAATGCATGGCATTTACGTTACACAGTTCTGGACATTAGAAATAATTAAGCTTATAGTGTTGGCGATATTTTATCGTATGCTAAAAAAAATGTATTACATAAAACATGTATTTTAAAAAATTCAGCACAATATAGCCTTTCAGATACTTATACATAGAAAATCAGATTACATATAATATGAATGATCTCTTCTCTGTAAACAGGTGTGTTTTGAAGAGGACATTGAAGGCAAAAAGGGGCTCGAATAGCCGCCAGTTTTTTTTTTCTTCGGAAAGCTGTACAGTTATCTTGGACGACATATCGCGTACAAGTACAGTGTACAAAACAGCAGTGAAAATAAAAATAATGAACTCAAAGTTTAATTCTCTTCTCTCAATTATTTTGTGAAACATAATTACCAACAAAGATATAAGTTTTTACCAGAGTGTATACAAAGCGACTTTTCAAGCGGTACATGAAAGCGTTTGACGCGTGACCAGGTACGTGCAATTGCTTTCAAAACATGCAAACTCAGACTACAGTATCAGGTAGCGCAGGTTGCTGACCTGTCAATCAAATCAGCAGCTATTGTTTTATTTTTGTATGATTGTCGGGCGGTATGTTATCGATCTTAAGCTAGGTAGATTTTGTGGGCGTTAATGGAAAATTGGGTGTTAAATAAAAAGCACATGTACTTGTCATATGCTGGAGTTACAAAACTATAGTCGACAGTGTTTTTCACACAGCATGTTAATAAGTTGGTGTAATCATAAAGATAGCCATTTTAAAAAGAAAATAATGTAAAAGTGTTTAGCAATGCATCTTATTGTTTTCAAAATATATCTCTTTTGAATTCTTTGTCTACAAACCTTGTGTGTCAAGTTAGAATTATCTGCAGAATTAACCACACGCAATGAATCTCCGAAATTAAACACATAATAACACATAATTGAGAAATAAATCGTTTATTAAATACATGTATGCAGTTTAAAGATTAGGATTCATGAAATCGGGGACCTTTATACGTCCTTAATAAAATGTTTTGGATTTAAATTAAATCAAATTAAGATAAGAATAAATGATTTAATTGAATGATCCGGTATGATTTAAAAAATCATTTTCCGTAAATCATTGTGTCAGCAAAATGAATATAGAACGACAATGTTTTGTGTATGAGCACTAATAACTGCTTCCTCGGCTACATAATTAGGTTACATAATTGTAAACAAACACAAAACCCGGGTATATGTGAAACGCAGTTAAATGCAGTTAAAGACCGATTTATTTTTTGCTTACTTTTTTTTTTTAAAATTTAATATAGTGTATGTGTCAACATTAAACGACGAAAAGATGTTTTGTTTACGAACGCAGGTCACTGGTTCACACGCAATGGATTTCTTGTAATTTTGGCCACAATAATTTAATAAGTATATCACCAACATGACCAACATAGATAAGATGAAATAATTTGAAAGATCCGATTTGACTAAAAAAAAACAATTATCCGTACATAGTTGAGTTTGCAAAATAGATTTAGAACGGCAATACCTGTTTAGTGTATGGCCACTGATCACTGGATCTAGGTCACGCGTGATCGGGGGATGGCCGGTTACGTAATTATAAACAAAAACAAACCCCGAGACGTATTGAAAATGTGTGACTCAATAATTTGGAATGAAACCACAGAACACGTAAAAACTTATTTTAAAGTAGTATTAGTATTTATTTTGGATAGGTTTATCATTTATAGCAAGTTTATTTCAGTTATGCGCATAAAGATTTCACCTTCACTTGTCTAATGAAACTAGTTACCTGTATATGGGTCAAGCTTCTAGCTCATTTATTAAAAAAGACTCGAACAAAATAACAAGTTCACGAGATCAATAATATGTTAAAGAACAACTTTTTTAGCGACAGCTATATCGAAATATTTACCGTTTTTGAGTTATAAAACGAAAACTTTCAAGGACCCTAGATCCCTAATTTAAGGGACCAGCCCCTTTTTGGAGGTGCCAAATGAAAGACCTTAAAATTGTGCACAACTTTTATTCAACATGTCTTAACAAAATATTTTTAGTTTAAAAGATACATAGGAAAATATGTGTAAATTTTCGCGCTTTTAGGCGTTCTAATTTTTGACCCCTATCTAGCGCCATTTTGAACACAGAAATCAAAAAACAAAAATAGATGTGCACAACTTCAATGCTTCTATTATTTAACTTCGGTAGAATTTCTACTCCAGCTTTTGTAGTCTCGGAGCCTTTATCCGGAAATGAAGAGTCCTAAATTTTCATTTAAAGGGAGATAACTCAAAAGCGGAAGTGGATTTTTGACATGTTTGACAGCATTCTTATAGAGTTTTGTAACGTCTACAAACCCTGCAAATTTGAGCAAAATCCGTTGAGAAATGAGCGAGATATGAGGCCTCAAAGTTGGCGTCTAGAAAGGAGAAGAAAAAAAAAAAGAATAATAATCTTAACCATCAGAATCAGTAGAAGGTCTTCCGTTGTGACGGAAGACCTTAACAATTTTGTTCCCAAGATCCAGATCGAAATATTTACCGTTTTTGAGTTATAAAGCAAAAGCTTTTAAGGGCCCAAGATCCCTTATCATAGGGGCCAGCCCCTTTTAAATAGTATAATATGAAAGCCCTTGCAATTATGCACAACTTTTGTTCTACATGTCTTAACAAAATATTTCTAGTTTTCAAGATATAAAGGAAAATATGTCAATTTTTTTGCTGTTTTCCGCGTTCTAACTTTTGACCCCTCTCTAGCGCCATTTTTAATGCAAAAATCAAAAACAAAAACGATGTGCACAACTTCAATGCTTCCTCTTTTCAATTTCAAAGGGTTTTGTGCTCCTATTATAACCATTTCTGAGCCTTTGTCTGGAAATCGGAGGCATACAAAATTCAATCAAAGGGGAATAACTCGTGAACAGAAGGTAATTTCCGAATTGTATTACGGTATTCTGACAGTGTTTTGTAAAGTCTAAAAGCTCTGAAAATTTGAACAAAATCTGTTTAAAAATGAGGAAGATATGAAGCGTCAAAGTTGGCGTCTAGGAAAAAAAAAAGAATAATAAGAATAATCTTAATCATCACAATCAGTAGAAGGTCTTCCGTTGGAAACGGAAGACCTTAATTAAAGCAATGTTGTTTATGTAATACATGTAAACGTCAAAATAGAAAGAGGTTACAGATAAGATTATAAGAATCATCAACTTCTTGACAATATTTACGGTTTTGCCGCAATACTATACTCCGAGATAGAAAAACGTTGACGCAGCATATATTTATCAAATTCTTGTCATCAAAAGAAAATATCTACATACTGTTTCTATAGACGAATACGGTTTTTAAAAGGAGAAAACAAATTGCGGTGCGCCGAACGCCGATATCTAACACCCTTTAAATGCTATTTCCACATGCATATGACATTACAAATTTATAATATACATGTAGTGTAAAATTGCAAAAACAATATTTCCCAACAATGTTTAAAAATTAATAGTTTCGGTTATGTAATTTATGAAATATTTAAAAAGTTTGCGTTTTTCTGGACAGAACTAATATAGATTGCAATAATTTATAGCCATTTATTTATTCAAAAAAATGAAAATAAAACAATAACGGTGGTCTTTAATATATGTACATGTGTTACATATGTTTCACTACCCACATTGACTATGTAACGCCCATTCACACGCCCCCTGTTTGTTTCTCCGGCAGTAACTTTTTCTGTAGGAGCATGTAGTCCCACTCGGTATAGGAGAGGAACATGTGTTACCCTGTCGAAGATTGCGTAATATTACACCATTCTTTTTCGTTACAATCTGATAAAGAAAGAAAAAAGCATCCCAGAATTAGAGTTCAGTTACTTTGATAGAGAATTGGATTTTGATTATCATAAGGTTTTCCAGTTTAATTCTTTTGACACAATCTCGAAAAAGTTAATAGAACTACATTGTATTTAAAATGGAACATTTTATATAACAACAAAACTCTAAACTGAAAAGAAATATCAATGTATCAGTTAGATATAAAGCACTCAAAATATAATATAAAGAAGAATATAAAAATCTTCATGTTTTGGAATAACCTTAACATTTCCCTGGACAAGAAAAAAATCTTGAAAGGAAAGCAAAAACAAAGTAGAATAATAATTTCACAGTTGAGATTCATGTATCTATTTTTTTTTAAATAATATTATTTTGAAAACATGTGATAGGATTTGGAAATGTTCATTAAAATACATACATATCAAAATTTATACTACCTGACAAAAGCAGTCATATTTCCTGAATAAATCTATATCTGTCTTTTTAATATCCGTCATGTTGTAAAATTCTCTAATTCGTATGCTTCCGTGAAGATTGTAGGCTGAAATTAAATCAAAATAAATAAAACTATCCCCACTGAACACTTTCAATTAAAACATGCGCATTATATGCATTTTGGTCCCGATACAAAAGAAAAAAACTTACCATAAATTAAATATTTAAAACCTTTATCCAAAATTTGTGGACCACATGACATAAAATATCCATTTCCAGTGATGGTTCCATTGAAATCTGTACCTATTCTTCCCTAGCAGATATAAAGAAGACATAAAGACTTTTGACGATTGATTGTATGCTTTCTCAGTCCCACTTGAGTGCTTGTGAAGACGAAAATGGTATGATTAATTTTCATAAATAAACTTAGACAATGATAATCATATTTAGATACATCTCTAAAACATGTGAATACAAAACAATATTTTCGAAGGTAATTCTGTTTCAGATTTTTATACCAATTTAATTAAGTTATTGTAGTAGCAGTGTATAAAAAATCACATTTTTTTCTACCTTGTAAGAATCTATAACTGACACTCTGTAATTACGCTCAAACAAATCATCACCCTTATTGTCAACCCCTTCCGCTTGAACCTGGAAAACTAAGAAAAAACAACAGTAAATCAATTTCTTTGACTGTTCTTTTTCATGAAACTAAATCAACCACTTCTATTGTCCAGTATTCTTATAACACTTAAACGTACCATAATTGGAACTGCAATATAGCTGTTGCCTGTGAGATACTCTCGGTTGACAACTGAAAATTTCCTTGATTTGGAAACATAACATCAATATTACATTAAGAAGGATCATTTTTAGCAATGGTTTAATCATTTTGTGGTTCTGCGTTTCACTTTGTTTATATATACATAGGCGTGTGTTAAGTAATAAGAAATGACTGTCATGTTTCAAGCAAGGGGGTCACCGTTTATGTATAATTAAAATTCCAGACACCAATCAATTTTAAATTCGACAGGTGCGCGTTTAACATGGTTATGTAATCGTCAATAGAGTGGTGAACTTAGTGCAGAGGGGAGTTAACATCTTTAGTAAATCAATGTATACTTCTCTGTGGTTGGTTTGCAGTGTCTTTATTTCCTTTCAGAATACATTAAAACGGAAACAAAATAAGAAAAACATAGAAGCAACAGAGTCTGAATGCATACTTTGAGATTTATTAAATATATTTGACAATTATTCCTGTAATGGAAATGGAAATTTACCATATGTGATTTTTTATATAGATATTTTTTATTCAACTAGTATTGTTAGTTGTGCATTACTTGTGAACCAGTTCATAGATTCATATAAATTTGAAACTTTTGTAATATACGAGGGTTGTTAGAAAAGTTCGCGGACACATTGATTTACGGTAAATTTGCTGTGTACTTTGATCATCAAAAATGGTAATCTTTCCATTCTAACAAAGCTACTACCATTCGGACATTGGTCCCAGATATGTGTATCATCTAAAACCATTTTCGACTCTTTCGGGCATTTACCTGTCTGCAGATATAATTTTTTTAATAGCTCGGTGCTCCAAGACGTTCAATGACTTTGCCATTCTTAACTTTATTTTTACGCATTGGTCATATATAATTAGCGACAAAACAGTCATAACCCCTCCAATTTCATTCAAAATTTTGCCAAAAGACGTTTTATGAATATCGTAGCGATAGGTGCAATATCATTTATCTTTATGCGCTATAACAGTGCAATTCTTAATTTTGAAAAAAAAAATGTCTATGTAATGTAAACTAACAAAAAAATGACATGTTTCGTGAAGCATGTTTAATCTAAATGATATAGCCATATAATTTTAAAAAAATTATCGGAAAACACCAGATATGTATGTATTGGAAAATACATATACATGTAGCTTCAATCTGCAGAATATGAGGTTTCATGCAAATAGCCTGCTCAAAATACGCGAACTTTTCTTACAACCCTTGTATCTATGTAGAATGATTAAAAATATTATTTGAACGTTTAATAGAGCAATTGGGGTAAGGTAAGGTAAATAAATTTAAGATATTTTCCGAAAATTTAAGGAACCATTGCTTATATAATTTTAAAATATTTATGAAAATATCTAGCTAAATTATGCACATATGTTAAACTAATAAAATAGATGAAAAGCAACTTTTTTTTATGTTAGGGATGGTGAAATATCCATTTATCACCATTTGCTTCATACTTGAAGCGCTTGAAAACAAAAAAAAAATATGAAATTGATTTTTTCTATTTGTTTACAAAGCAAATAATTAATAAGAATTTGTTCTGGGAATTATTTTCCGCCCACAATACTCATAAATTATTTCCTTACGCAATTCCTAAAAAACAAACCATTATAAATTTCCAAATGTCTACAGACATGTTTGATGTTCTAACAAATTGCTTTTTCCCTCTTAGTTCGCAAAAGCAATGAAATAATTTAACATGAATTAAATTATTGAAGACATTATTTAAACCCCTCATATTCTTAGATATTTAAATAAATGTAGCGAAAACAAATCTTCAGTAAAATCTGTAATATCCAAACCACAGCACAAGTTTATCTGATTTATAAATGTATCTCAAATTTATTGTCATTGAAAATATCATAATTAAAAGAATTGGTCCCAATATTTTAAACAAATTTGAATTTTACTTAAAAAAATATCCAACAAAATAAAAAAGAATAAAAAAAAAAGCCCTGAAATTTTCACACATTTATTTGATAGAGGGAAAGGAGGTGACAGCCTATAAAAGCACAATTGTCATTTGTGCACAATCATATTTAACGAAGGTGCCAACTTTCAGTAACCACAAGACGACCTTACACAGGTGGTCACGTTTCATGCGCAGTCTTGTTGTGCTTTATAGTACATGTTTGCATAGACGATTTGCATATAGTAAGGCACTGTAACCAACGCAATCTCTATACTCAATCATTCTGTGTGTACTTACGACACAAGAAGTAGAATGTTTTGCATAATATTAAAAGTATGATATTTTTTTTTTTTTACAATACATGTATGTTTCGGTTCATTTTAGGATATTTTTACGCCAAATGAAACTATTTTTAATGTATAAAATCTTTTAGGTATACATGCACCATCCTAAGCAAAACTTATTGGCAATATACTGACATTATAATACTACCAGTCAACCCTGGAAAAATGTAGACATTTTCCTGCTGAATTTCTTTTAGAGTCGAATTGATAAGATTGAAAAATACTTTAAAATTTTTATATTTATAAAACCCTTCGGTGAGTGAAATATTGCTTAACGAGGTTCGTTCCGCAGCTTTTGAGCAGATTTTTGTCTTGGTCTGTATTTAAATTATCTGCATAAGTTTTTAGTTCTTACGATAAATTTGGATTCTACAATGCTAATTAAACTATATTCAATTAAAAACTCATGATTAAATTCCATGAGGAACTATATTTCATTGCAGAAGGTTTTGTTTTAGAAGAAAATAATGAATTTTTTCTCTTTCAAAATATTAACAGTATTGTTAAGTTTAGATTCCTTTTTTTTTACATTTAGCCTGCACATGGGGTTATTTTGTGCAGTGAAATGTTTTATGCTGGTCCTAAATAATATATGAAATTTACCGTCATTGATTCTATCATCATATTGGACAAATATAGCAAATATATTGTGAAAGTCTTGGGAAAAAATAGCCCACTTCATGCTAACAATTAACACTATTTTATATTAGTTATATCTAAAAATTAACATTACAGAACCCCACTTTTAATTTTCTTTTCTTAATATACAAGATAATTTTAACAATTCTGCTTAAATTCAGAAAAATGACATTACTTTCAAATGATTTTATTTTATGTTTTCTAATGCTCATAAGGCTCACCGCAGCTGGTTTTTGCTGAGTATATTTAAAATTGACTAGAACATATTCATAGAGATGAATAATGTCATTTATTCAAATGACGATGTCACTGTAAATCATTTTACATACAAACAGGGGATCAGATTCACAAGCTCTGAATTTAAATTACGCAAAATATGAAATTGTCTGATCCCCCAATAATGAATAGAAAAAAGTACATAGAAAACAAGAAAATCAAACCTTTTAAGAAAAATATAGCAAAAAGATGGCACATACAAAAAAAATTGGCCAAGAAAAATTTCATGTGATACATTAATATTAACTAAAGAGGTAGGCTCGCAGGGGGTGATGGCTGGCCTTCAAATTACACGTGCTTCGTATACACAGTGTTCAACGTGCGGATATCAAAATACAACTGCTCTAAGCTCTGATCCGCACCGCTGATCACGTGACCCTATCCAATTAAACCACTGGCTAGTAAATGTTTGTCTCACAGCCAGCAGACGTGTATCTAAGAACACATTTTGTACACTGAAGATGTTACACACATAAAAATACTCGCATTTAATACATAAATTCAATTATTATCATAATTGATGTTTTATGTTTTCTAATGCTCATTAGGCTCACCGCAGCTGGTTTTTGCTAAGTATATTTAAAATTGACTAGAACACATTCATAGAGATGAATAATGTCATTTATTCAAATGACGATGTCACTGTAAATCATTTTACATACAAACAGGGGATCAGACTCACAAGCTCAGAAGCTCACAAGCTACATAAGACGAAATTTATTGTCATTATGAGCATAATTTAACCATATTGTTTACTACATAGTTATGAATGACCGGATTTTGCTTAACATATTAAGTGATAGGGTACAAACCCTACACCCGTATTCCTAGAAACATGCAAAATAAACGTGCCTGCAATAATAGGACTTTAATTGATCGAAAAAAGGTTGTTATGAATAGCAATATCATACTAGGGTAAGTAAATGAACTATCTAGATTACCGGAATTCATTATCTATATGCTATAAACAAAGCATTGGGTATGTCATAAACAACCTACTGCGAAATATAATACACCACATAATTATCAGATCTTATACTGGCCTCAATCATTTAGTCATTTGAATAACTGCATTCCTAATACTTCTTAGAAACTTCCGCATGGGCTGGTCGTGCGTGGGGGTGCAGCACAGATGTACACCATCCGGACCCAAGAAAGTCAAGTATCTCCAGAATCCCCTGTGGCGCCAGAAATGTATCCCAGACAAACACTTGGTCATGGACTCCAGCTGTGCATTCGTCCCCACTACAGAATCATTAAAACCTCGACAGGCTGCAAAAGGCAATCGCCGAATTAATTGGCCGATTATAACCACCTTTACACCAGCGCCATCCCGCAGATATGCTGCCACAGATATGAGGTCCCCCGCTAGCTTCTCACAACAAGTCCAATCACTAATGCCATTTTCTCCGATCTGGAGGAAAATTACATCGGGCGGCGAGATGAAATGAAAAAGTTCCCTTCGAGCGCTCAGCCAATGCGATATACCTATGTGTCGCAAACGAAGTCCTCCTTTGCCCCGAAAATTCACGATAAAACTGTCATCCAATTTCATTTTTTAATCCCTTGTCACAAACACAATTCCTCCAATCTACGGATGTAAGAATGTCCAATAATGCAAACATTAAATCCATCCTCGAATCAAACTTCCCCAGCAATGCTACAACTATCGCTAATAGCTGACTAAAAAAATAAATAATTATAGTAAAACTTTACCAAAATAATTAACTTACGAAGCACAAACTTCCAAGTTCTTAAGCGTCCACTTCAGTTAGCCCTTCACAGTGGTCAGCGTGCGGATATCAAAATACAACTGCTCTAAGCTCTGATCCGCACCGCTGACCACGTGACCCTATCCCATTAAACCATTGGCTAGTAAATGTTTTTCTCACAGCCAGCAGACGTGGATCTAAGAACACATTTTGTACACTGAAGATGTTTCACACATGAAAATACTCGCATTTAATACATACATTCGATTAATATTATCATAATTGATGTTGCTTGTTAAATTTTTAATGCCAGAAAAATGACATTTTTGAGTGCAAAAAGGTCGAATAATTGACTATGCGAAGTAATTTGAAACTTTTTTTTGTTGTCAGAAATTTTAAAGATACTATTCAAGATGAAGAAAGACTGTGTTTGTTCCCATAATTTATTTGGATAAAAAAATATTAGAGGAAAAACTTTGAAACTTTGATTTATGTGTTAGACGTAATTACAGTGCAAAAAGGTCATATTAAATGCTCCGTAGTGCCAAAGGAAGCGCATTGACCCCCACTTTTGGTTTTGATTTTTAATTAAGCTATATGTATAGATTTCAAAAATATACTTGATAAAAAATTCTCAATACTTTTGATAACAGGATCCAACCTCCTTAAAATGCATGATAATTGAATATTAGATTTTGGAAACTCGTAGCATGAAGGAAGAAAGTATTGTTAAACTTCATCTCATAATTGTGAAATTTGCTCATCATGTTAAACCTCTACAAACTGCGCCCCTGAGCTGATATATGCCCAATCTCTGTGACATCATTTCCTTTTTCCTTGTAAGTCTAATTAACAAAAATCACTGAGTATGCACAAATTGTAAATGATGGGGAAAATTTTCCTCACACCTAATGGAACTCAAGAAACCACAAGATCCACGGACATTATCTTCCGAATGATCTACAATGCAACATCCCCAACCACATGAATCTTCTTCTACCTGTGCATGAAAAATATAGGGTAATTATTACTGAACTTGTTGTAATTTCTCTATGTTCAATATTTCAGCAAATTCGTTTGCAAATTTTTCCTGAGAGAAGAATAATCAAACATATGAATGAAAAGGGGTGCAAGGCGATTGATTTTTTTCTTCTTTTTTTTTTTTTCTTCAAAAAAAAAAACAACACTATATTATAGAAAAATATGTAAATAGCCCCCCCCCCTTCCCCCGTTAATATAACCCAAACAGGAAAGAGAGCTTGGTTTGAAACTTTCAGATGATTTTTTGCATATTTATTGGTAGATCAAGTTACCAAAATTTTTCATTGTACAGACATATTTCTTTTGACTGATTCCTAAAAAAAAATTAGAAAGAATTTGGTTTAATTCCTTATAATCTTTTTTCATGTACACCTGTTACACTCATTGCATAATTGTAAAAAAAAATATTTTAGACATAAGATTGGATATGTATATAAAAATAGCTAAAATAAAATTTATAATCAAAGGTTTGTAGATTTTGTATAGAAACCTCAATAGCATAACTCTAAATATAGAAGCAAAGTAGGGAAAAACTAATTCAATACACGGAGGAGAAGATTAAAAATATATATATATATTTTATCCTGTGTACAAGGAAGAAGAATATTTTTTTTCATCATTTTTAATACTATTTCAGAGTGAGCATTGGTTGTATTTTTAAAGGATGATAGAATTTTTTTTTTTTTTTTTTTTTTTTTTTTTTCATGCCTTATTAAATTCATATCAAACATTTTAAACAGTCATATATATTTCAGATATTTTGTAAAATGCAGCATGGATTTGGCGAGACACAGTATTGGAATCAGAGGGCCAGGGAAGAAGCGCTCACTCCTCCATGGTAACCGATCCCACCTCTGATGTTTTAGAGGTCCGTGTTTGCTCTGCTCTTGATTTTTATTGTTTGAATGGACTTTTTAGCTTGAATACTGTTCGTTATCTCCATATATTTCATTTAAAACTCTAAACAAACCTGCACAATTCCAATTGTCTGATTTTCAAAAGCTCAAAATTACCAGGGTTAGCTATTGTCTTATCTGGTTAACCTGAGTCCTGAATGCATTGAAGCGACGCGAATTTCCAGTCGCTCATGCTCTGACAAAGTCAGTCTGAAAAAAGAAAAAAAACATATTCATTGAGAAAAGTTTTTGGTACGTTTGAATTCCTTTAGACAAAATGCAATAGAAAAAAGACACCTTTTTTGAAAAATGCTTATAATTCCGAAATTCCAGTCAATTTCAAATTGTCTCCAAGTTGAAACTTATGGAGAGATTTAAGGCACCAATTGGAATTTATAGGAGCCACTAAATTAATCGCCAATTAGAGGTCCTATCATAAAAAAAACATTAAAACAAAGTCATTGAACATGTATCAACAATAAAGGCAAGGAATTCTTCAGAAAAACGATGTATACGTATCCATATTTAAAATTCAAATTCAATCGTGACACCAAAAATCCTTGGACAAAATTCTAACATACTCTTTGATATAATATGTACAAAATAGGCAATTAAAATTTCATTAGCCATTGGGATATTCTCTCTCTAAAGGCAGGGAAATTTTAATACATGGTTCAAATGAATCGGAGTTTTAATTTGTAAAAGAGAAGTGATAATTAAGAATTCAACAGTTAAATCACTTCAAGTTGTCAGAGAAGTAATGAAAGAAAGAAAACAATTCGTTTGTCATTTTGCCACCGTATGACCTTACACAGCTGCCAATGTTTCATGCAAAATTATGATAAATTTTAAAGTACATATTAAAAAAATTTTTCTCAAACGTGCATTCTTATTAGTTAATCAATAAGAATCAACTTTCAACATAAGATACCATTTAAAAAAAATTAAATTGATTTATTTCAAATCTTACTATTATATAACAATTGTTATTCTTAAATGGAAGCTTTTTTTCAGAAAACCTTTCACGTTTTTATTCTTTTATCCCACGCTTTGGATTCTTTTACCCCGTGAGGGTATTCTCATAACACATATATGTTTAAGGAACTGGTCATCAAATTAAAAGATTTAAGTAGAATTCTAATGCACAAATTAAAGGAACAGGTGTAAACGTGGCAAATGCTTCCAAATTTGAATGTATGAATATATTTTTGATGGTGAAAAAAGAGAGAACATGATAGTAATTGCTACAAAAATAAATCGTTAAAGCAACAAAGCTGAACTTCACTATCAAAATAATTCAGGTTGCTGTAAACAAAAGCTCACACTAAATCAATAATCACAGTAACTGTTGAGTTAAAGAATTTTACATCAATCTATTGAAGACCCTCTTGACTTTTTTTGGAAACAACAGCATATAAAACTTTAAACGTAACTAAAAGCACAAGTACTGTATAGAAAACTCATCGAGCTGTTATTATTATCTTTTTTTTTTCATTTTACCTATAAGAAGAATTTACTGATTAGTATGTTTTTGAAGCATAACCACTTCAAATATATGTAATTATACAATTTTTTTTATCCTGCTTGTGTTGTTCAAATTCATAATCCTTGCTAAGCAGCCTTTGGTTCCTTCTTTCATGGTCCATGCCCCCTGAGGCCTAAGGGGTGGGACCAAAACCATCAAAATAAGTGCAATCTTTAAAATCTTTTTTCTTTACTCCTGGACATTAAGCAACTTTTTGAGCATTAAGCCCTTTACCAAAATAGTGAAATTCATGGCCCAAGGGTCAAGGGTTCTAGATTTAGGGTGAGACTCTATTGATTATATAGTGAAAATTCATAAATTCTTTTAAAGTAAAATTTCTCCTCCTGTTCATAAAGCAGACTAGGTAGGTGCAAGGTTATGATGACCAAATGAGCCTCTTTCGAAATTGAGAAATTTGTAGCCCCAGGATGAGAGGTTCTGCGAGAAGGGGGGGGGGGGGGTCTTTTGACTATAGTGAAAGTGCATTATTTCTTTGAAAATCGTCCTCTCTATCTGCTCCTTGGTATTAAGCAGATAAACCAAGAATGTAGTAATGATAAGCAAGGACGCCTGCTCCAGAACTGAGATATGGTGTAAAGGCAAAGCTCTATTTAGCGAAATTGCATTAATTTAAGGGTATTTTGCAAATAAATTAAATGCATGGTTATAATGATGAAAAATGCCTTTTCTAGAATTATGAATTTATGACCCCATGGTCAGGGGGTTCATGTGGGGGGATCTATTGAATATATATAGTGGAAATGCATTTTTTTCCCCGAAAATCTTCTTCTCTGCCCCTGGGTATTTAACAGATAAACTAATTGCATGATTATGATGAGCACGGATGTCTTGTCAAAAAGTTTCATAACCAGGGTTAGGAGCTTTGGTGTAAGGTGAAGCTCCTTTGAATATACAGTGAAATGCATTATTTTTTTGAACATCCTCTTCTCTGCCGATTGTTATTATGGAAACAAACTAAATGCATGGTTATGATGAGCAAGAGTGCCTCTTCTAAAATTGTTAATATCTTAGTCACTGGGTCAGGGACTCTCGTATTAGCGTGGGGCTATATTGAATCTATAGTGAAAAGGGATTATTTCTTCGACAATCTTATCTGCTCCTGGGCATCTAGGAGGCATACAGAGTATAGTCCAGTCAAATTGTCATAAACCTTAAACAAATTGCAAAGAATTTTTTTCTTTATTTATAAATAGCAAATTGTATAATAATCAACATATAAAAACTCTAGAAAAATATATAAAGGCGAAAGATATGTTTTTTTAGAAATAAATATTTACTGGTCTAATAAAATATGTATTGCAGAAATGTGCTACCATAGGCACCAAGGGAGACAATTTTAACCACTATTAACAAACCACTT